AGCACTTTGCCTCGAAGCAATGGGCAGCAGCACGCAGACGGTTGGCCAGTACATTGTTGTAGTTCGACCCAGCGGTAGTAACAGAAGCGTCCTCGGTACTACCCGCCGCCTCGGAAGGGGCATCCAACATGCGGGTAGGCCAGATGCATGGCCACGACGAGATATGAATCTGCTCCCGTTGGGTCATCAGAGTATATCGTGCCAGCGGGTTCGTGTTCTCTCCGCAGATGAGCCCGCCGATATTGCCGTACGGGGTATTAGCGACTCGTAGCCCGTACCCGTCACCGGGACTCCAGGTCAATTTCTCGAAGAAAGTCGGCATCAACTTGCGGTGATGCACGGCGATGGAACCAGTGCTGTCGATGATGAGGTTCGAGTTGTAGAGACAGGCAGTGCTGGTCAGGCTACGCTCCGAAATGCCGATGCTCACCACAGTGTTGGTCTCACGAGCGGCAGTCCGCAGCGCAGCAACCTCTTCACCATCGATGGCAATAGAGTTCGCCACCATACGGGAGAACAGATCGTGATTATCCGTGGGTGGACGCAGCGCACTCCAGAGGGGAAAGGCCGCAATGTAGGATTCGGGGAAGACAACTACGTGGGCGGCATTGCGCGCCGCTTGATGGATGAGGGAGACGGCTTTACTCGTGGTTTTCGACGCGGACAGGAAGTGAGGCGCGACGTGGCAGGCTGCTACTCTGGTAACGACCATGATCAAGAAGTCTTTACTCTCTGTGACGACTTACAGCACGGTGGTCTTTGCATATAGCAAATTGGCGCAGTTGAGAGTCGCGGATGTTATCAGTGAGGGGGCTGGTTGATAAGGCCATGGCGGGAAATCCGCCCGGCCCGCTTGTCGCTCCACTTTCGGGTAGTCCCAGGCTCAGGCTTCTTGGTGCGGCCAAGGTTGCTTTTGACGGTTGTTTCGATCAGCACGGCTAGACATACCGAGAACATCGTCGAGCAATAAAAATTCAATTGCTAGTAATAGAGAGAGCTCGACATCTTAGTCGCCATTTTCTGCGACGCCTTGTCTCATTATCTCAGCGAATATGCCGAGGTCTGGTCAATGAACCAGTACTAGCTTCAGATAGAGTCCAAGACTTACTCTGCCACCACCTTACATTTGCACAGTACGATTACATAGCGAAGAGGCACAGTTGAGATCAGATATCCACGCAATTGAGTCTTTGACATCGACACACACACACACACACACAAGATTTCTTATATACAATGATGACAGTGGAAGTTTAAAAGGTCCATCAAGGAGAACAACAGGAGATGGAAATGGAGATACCACCACCTAGACGATCAGTCATAATCACGACCTCTCTTAGTCGCGCGTGTCCACCCTAGGAACAACAATGGGATTCCATGACGTGAGCGGGCGCAAACATAGGCATGGCATCTTCCCACAAACTGTTCGACAACACGGTCTTGTTGCTACCATCGGCTTCCATGAGCACGATGATAGCGTATGGCTGCATAGAATCATCGTATAAGGGTGCCTCCTGCTGGAAGCCGAACATCGCGGTACTGTATAGGATACGTCCATCTTGGGTCCACACAGCATGGGCATCACTGGCGATAGAGGGAGTGAGCTTCGTAAGCTCACTGCCATCCGGGTTCATGGTGAAAATGTCATAGTTGTCGCCAATGTTATCCAGATTGGTGCGCCGTGTGAACAAGATCTTCTTGCCATCAGGGGAGAAAGCCGGGAGGTTATCCCACTCGGTTGTAAGTTGGGTCACCTGCCGAGAGGGTAGATCGACAATGGCCAATCCAGTGGTGCCAATGGTGGTACCATTGGAGGCAGTACCGGGCCAGGTCCGAAAAACGACCTGAGTGCCATCATGGTTGTAAGACGGGAATCCGTAGTTGGTGATGTTGTTGCCGGCGAGGAGGGTCACGCCCGTACCCTCCGGGGTAACACTGAAGATGAACCCCGGGCTACTTTGGCGGCCCACGAAGTATGCACCGTAGCCGAACGTGATGTTGGTATCATTCGGTCCCCAGTTGCCCTGATAGGCACGGGCGTTAAAGCCTTCCGCGATAGAAGGGTTGATCATGCCCTTCTTGGTCTCGAAGAGGGTAACCTGATCAGTGCCGTTCATTTGAAGACGCATGAGATTGCTCTCCGCGGCACCCTCCATCTGCTGTGACATGGCCATCATAGGGCAGCCTCCACGCTTGGCCATCGGGAAAACATCCGTGAAGCGGTAGTCCCAGTCCGGGTCAAAGCTCCACAGCGGGGAATACTGAGTCTTTGATGTCGACGTACTACCGCCCGTGGGACCTTGTTTTTCATAGATGATATATTTGCCATCTGGCGACCAGGCAGGGGAGCGTATAGCAGGTGTCATGGTATTCATGGGAATGGTCTGGTATTGCGTGTAGTTTTTACCCGAGATGGAGGTGTAGTAGATACCATTGCTCGCCGACTCTTTCATGACGTAGCCAATAACCTGTCGGGGGCATTCAATGATCAGTATGAAGTACTACAGTGTGGCTGAATCAGGATACTTACATCGTCGGTGACGAACGAAGGACTGATCTTGGTCCCATCTCCAGTAGCATGAACAATGCGGTCACCACCCGTGGCGAAATCAATCGAGACGATGCTGGTGTTGAGGTAAGATCCTTCGAGCAGTTCAGGCTGCAGACGACCATTGTATGTGTCCTCGGTCAACATCTCATAGAAGACCAGGCGCTTTCCATTTGGGGAGAATCTAGGCGATCCCTGGGTGTAGTTGCTCCGAGACGAGACGAGACGAAAGTCGGTACCATTGGGGCGGGCTGCGTAAATGGACAACTCCTGGGTATGCTCCCAACCAGAGCCGTCGCTGTGGCCCCGCCATGGGGTGTTGCGATCGGAGGTGAAGACGATCCACTCTCCATCAGGGGACCATGTCGGTTTGAAGTATCCATTGGGGAGTGAAGAGTTGGCGGCCTCGGAGATACCGGGAATGAGCGTGAGGTTCTTGAGCGATCCGGTCTCCAGGACCATGAGCATTATCTGGCTAGTCTGATTGTATCTTGAAGTTGCAAATGCCAGCATCTTGCCATCAGGGGAGATTGAAGCTGAGTCGTCGACACCGGGTGACAAAGCGACTTCTTCTATTTCTGCCCCCTCGGTACTGGTGCCATTAATGGCGACACGGTAGATATCCGCCTGGCCGTCCCCTCTTCTCTCCGACGTGAAATAAACATGCTTTGCGTCAGGAGACCAGCTGGCTCGGAAATCGTACACGGTGTTGGAACCCAGGAGGAGCTTCTCATTGGAGCCGTCTGGCTCGGCAATATACAGCTCGGAATAGTTGGGACTGATGCGGTTGTGCAGAAAGGTACCTAGTTTTGTTCCTGAGGTAGCCTCTCTCCTAGCGTGGTCTTCTGCATGTGATGCACCAGAGACTAGGGTGGCAGTGGCTAATGCAAGCCAGGCCCATGTCTTCGAAACAAACATGGCTCTTTCCACTCCCTAGCGGCAGGGGTGACAGGGGTTGGTTGAATGGGCAGATATAAAGATAACAGAAAGCAGGTCACCGCTCACACACGATAGCCTGCTATCGAACCAAGTTCTGAGACAGATTTGGGCAGTAGTCGATGAGCAAGCAGGGCCAAGCTTCGTCTTAAATGTCAGAACTCGGAACCCAGGACTCTGAAGAGCGGGATGGGGTGGGGATGTACCCGCTGACAATTGAAAACGACCAGAGCCATCTTCGCTTAGATGGGAAGAACTATCTCAGCACTGGGGTATGGCCCTCAGGGCTTAATTTAGTGTCTTCTAGTGTGGAGGGTCAAAAAAATGCAGGTGCCACGCAGAGAAAAATCCGGGAGCTCCACCTTTCGGACCTTGAACCCTGAAATGGATACCCGTCGGCGATCACTTGTTGCACCTCGTATAGCGAATTGTCCCTCGGACCTGCCCACCCGAAGCGATCCGCGCCCTCCCGATCAGGTACGCGTAAAGGATGACGGATTTGAGGTTGCTAACCTTGCGTAGTTGTAGTCCATCTCAAAAGACCGGTGGAGAAAATACAATACAATACGCCACTCCTAGCAATCTCGGGCCTCGTCCGGGCCGCTCTATACCCCTCTGATGCTTGTTTTGTCAAACAACACGGGATAATCTTCTTCGTCCAGATTTGCTCCCGCATGCATGTATTGCATGAGAGCTCGGCCATAGTGTTTCAGGTCCTTCCTTAAAAGAATGAATGGATCATTCCCAGCAAGTCGAGGCAGGACGTTTTGTAATTGGGATCAGAGGTCCACCCACTCGTTCTCCCCACATTCCACATGAAGACTGGAAGGGGGGAAGTGTCTCCTTTCGTGTTTGGAAATTGCCGCATCGACTGTAACTATTATCGTTCTCCGAGTTGAAAGAGGCAGCTGCGCAATCCTTTTACCTCCGACATCACAGGGCCGAGCAAAGCCTCGAGCCCTCCGAATAGGCAACCATCATCATTCCTATTGGGTCCTTCAGACTTCACATAGGGGAGTATACGCAATATTTCCGACTGGTCTGAATGCCTCTACTGCCCAATGGTGTATCCCAAAGAAGTCAGATTACGACCCAAGCAGCACGCAGCCGGCGGCTTCAGCTGAGTCAAGCGTTCTTCTTGTCTCACCAAAGAGATCAATGAACCCGGACCCTACAATATCAATATAGTGTGGACTATACGATGTTCAGTTTGGGATAGCATAATGCTTACAGAGGGTTGATGACTACGGCGGCAGCCGACAAACAAGACAGTTTATACTTCTTATACTCTTATGTATTCATCATCTAGACCTGGATTGAAAAGCTCCTTATTTACAGATAGGCAATTGTTAAAAGGCCTCTCCAACAGCAACCCCTTCCCAAACCCGTAATCAAAGTCAAGACCCAGTTGGAATGTAAAGGAAAGTACATGGGCTTCGAGCAGAATAGAAACAATGATGGACGCATACGGCTGGATAAAACCGTCTCTTCAGCAGACCCTCAAAAGGGAACAACTCTAGCTGATAACGGTGATATTGCTCGACAGAGCAGTGCAGTTGATGGGAAGATCAATTGGCGGAGCTGTTCCCCCGTTGCTGAAAGCCAGACTGCTGTAGTTGTAGGTCGGGCTTAGCATCATGATTTGGCCAACAGTCGTCCCATACTTGTCGGCAAGATCCTTATACACACCCCACTCAAACGAATAAGGCTGGATGATACATTGACTCGGCGAGCACTCGGGGACCTTGATGAACTGGCCAACCGGCAATGTTTCATTAGCGGACTGACCGCCCGAGAGTGATTCGGTCGTTATGTTGAGACGGAGGGCAATCTTTTCATAGGTGTCCCCTTTGACGGTGTAGTACAAACGTGGTCCACCGTAGATGCAAGTCCGGGTACGGCCCACATCTTTGATCAGGCAGGATTCATTGTCTGGAGTGCAGGTTTCGCCAGGGATGATGAAGACTTCGCCAATATTAGGTGGAATGGTCACATCTGCCATGAGGTTGTGTCGGCCAATGTCACAGACACCGCGGTTGGTCTTGCGGGCAACCTCGAACACCGTAGTCTCTTCGGTGATATCGTAGAGATAACTTGTGGTATTCAGGGTACTCGGATCGCAGGACGCCGAGGCAACGGCAATTGTGCCCAGAGAAAGAAACAAAGTAGAAACGGCGGATCCAAAGCCCTTCATTGTGACGGTAATTAGTCTTTAGTGGGGGTGGAAAGAAATTGAGATGAAATGAGCGACTATGAAATGAGAAGAATGAAACAGACGATGTACTGGAAGTACAGGAGGCCCTTTTATAACGATCAAAAATTATATCCTAGCAATGATTGATCTTCCACGCAGAAGTGGCTCCGGGAGCACGATAAGGAAGTTCCGATCGGTGATCATGAGCCGTTCATGCCGCAGCAGTGTGGTCAAGGTGCACATGAATCCCGATGGCACCTTCGCAGTCCAGGCCACCGACATTCATTTCTTCAACAAGCCTGAGTACGTGTATAACGATCACTAGGTACTCGGGGTATCCGTGTCTCCCCCGACGGCACGTCACGGAGTTCCGGTCCCTTCCACTGCCTATAGCCTCGTCAGCTGCGATATGATAGACGCGTTAGCCACGCCATGTAGTCCGCGATATCGGGGAGTTTGCTAAGGCATTCTAAAGACACTAAAAGCGCCAGTGCGTCTTGTAAAGTGCGTCATCGCCATATCCACCGCCCTCATTGGAGGAATTTAGATGCCCTAAACAGGGAGCGATGTACGGAGATACCCCAGTTTGACCCATAAACTGGTGGGTCGGACGGAAAATCTGCCGCGGGTAAGAACGGCTTTAGAAGAAACACAGACCTTACATGCGTAATATTCCCTTCAGTTTGGGTTCCAATTGTCGGAGGTCGGATGTGACACAAAGATGGATCCAGGCAGCCAACACTAAGATCACGTTTATGCATTTCTGCCATGCTGAGAGATAGGATATTGCCCCTGGACAGACATGCGGAATAGACATAGTTGTGCTACTCACATCGAACAGGGAAGGTCAGGAGTGGGGACACGGTATCACAATGGAACTCGCTAGGCTAAATCTTCATCATCTCTTTTTATCTATACTACTGGTCGTTCTAGACCAAAAAATCAGTGATCCTCGAGAGCGGGACAGAGTGTTTCTGATCAGGCAATGATCCTCGTGCGAGTGGGTCCAGGGCAGCAGCAATATGAAGAGCCTGTTATCTCCGAGGATCTTGAGTATCTTCGGTCTCCTTATCCCCCTTTATGCACTGACAAAACGGCTAGCGTCTGTCGGCAATCCCACAGGGCTCTTAGGTTTTACATTCAATAACGTAGACACGTAGACATAGTTTTCGATGGTTCCATGTCTATGATCTGCAGTCACTGCGGAAAACAATTGGGAATAATGTAGCCTAGGAGCATACGTATTCAACTAAGAAGCTGCGCACAGGAAGAAAAGTAAAACCCAAAACCTTGGAATGGACGCCGTGGGGTTTCGCAAAGTGACCCCAGATTGGGTTATAGCGGCTAAATGGGCGGTGTTGGGGTTGTTTTGGCACGCTTCATCTTATCGGCGGAGCCCAGACCCACGCCGCCGATCTCGATTAAAGCAGGGTCATATTGGCTCAGCGCAGACCACAGAAGTAGCTGAACTGATAACGGCCAATGATCTGTGTTGGATTTAGAGGCGATTGCGTTTTCTGATGGATAATTTGATGTATCTCCCGTCTCGAGACCGTTATCTAGTTGTTCGCGGGAGGGCTCCAGTGGGTTATACGGCTAGTATTGGTTTAGAAAGAAAGTCTCCTTGCGCTCTCTTTCTCTTTGAAGACCTACCTTGCGAGTTCAATGACATAGCAGGCGATATACCGCGGCTGCCCTAGCAAAGTCCACAGAGTCTACTCCCCCACAAGGCGATCCATAGGGACAGCAGACATGTAGTTCAACCGAGCAACATAGTTGAGGCGGATGTCAATGCAATCAATCCAGGTATCGTCTTTCCATCACTATCCCCGAGGCTCCAGTGTCCCACGGCTATTCGTTATTTGACCATATTTTTGAGCAGCCATGCACGAGCATAACCCTCACTTTAATAACTGAATATGGCATATTGCCTCATTAGTGAACACATCATGATTCCTTGACCTTGCTTACGTTTCCTGTCGGGGGTTGAACGCCTACCTTCACAAGTCTTTTCAATATTGGACTTGCCTCATCGACCACGTAGGTACCGCCATCGTCAGACTTCAGATTGACAGGAAAGGTTATCATGTCTCAAGTGCTCAGATCGTAACATTGTCAGGTTGTCGCACCTTTAATCTCTTTTATTACACGGTTTGATTCGTGATTTGGTCATTTGAGGCTCCTCAAAGTGCATAAGCACTCCATACTTCTTATCCTCAATCACATTCATCAGGGCGATAGCAGTCCAGACAACTACTCTGGCACGTTCTGAATATCTTGTTTAGTCCTACAGTGGTCAACGTAGAGGGCGCTGTACCGATCGGGGATATGTTATACGGATGTATTTTTAGGAGGCCCATGTCCTCTTCGATCGATTCTATCATGACACAGGTTTGAGTGATGAGACATTGAAAACTTGGAGTACCTTGCAGTCAATATCTATGTGCATTTCATGGTGAATTTGGTCAAGACGTTGGTACAGTTCGTCATCCCCTCAATAGAAAGCTTTGCATTTTTAAGCCGGCAGTTTCAAGCCAGTAACCTCTTCACAGGCTTCCACGACTTTCTCTTGCAAATTCTCATCTCTTGCAGCCGGAATCGGCTGACCAATCTTCCCCTTGGGCTCGAAATACCCTCCAGACAGGTTCTGTTCATCATAATTCCCTTCGGCTAACATGACATACGTTTCAACACCGTCCTCCACCTTATCTGGGGCACCTTGTCCGCCAAGCTTGGTTGCCACCCACCCGGGGTGCACCGAGGTCACCGATGTGTTCCTGAACCGCCGAGCGACGGCATTGGCGAGGAGCATGACATGAAGCTTGGAGTCACAGTATGCCGGGTAACTTTGGTAGCTGGTCTCCCCGCGCTTGAACCAGAACATATCCTCCATGCTCGCCATGTCTGCGTACCGGTGCAGGTTTGAGGAAATGAAAACCAGGCGTTTGGGTGGACGCAGCAAACAGGACATCACATAAGGTGCGATAAGGTTGACCGACACCAAGGCTGGAACACCAGTATTCGCATTCTTCCGAAAGCCACCCTGCATGATTCCAGCATTCAGGATGACAGCATCAAATTCACCAATTGCGTTGGCATCGTCGCAGAGCTTCTGCGTGTCTTCCATCCTGGATAAGTCGGCAGTCAACACCCCGGCGGCACCCGGGCACGCAGATTTGGCGTCCATTGCACGTTGCTCATTGCGTGCATGCAGGTATACGGTGTGTCCTCTGTTAACAAGCTGCCTGGCAGCCTCGAGACCAAGCCCGTCGACCGAGCCAGTGATGAGAATGCGAGCCATTTTGCTGATCGCCAATGATTGATAGGCCAATTTCAAGTGATGTACTGTCACGGCTGGAAGCTTCCGAATTCAGATAAAGGCAGCGAGAAGGGAGGAGGGTACAAGAGTTGAGATACAGTCGAACTGGAAGGTGAGTCTGTTGTATGGCTATACCCGGGGCCGTCGGAGCAGCGTTTGATGGTCGTGGGGCAAAACACTGCACGGGAGTAAAGTCCGGTAACTCCGGCGGTTTCCCGACGGGTTTGTAGATATGGGATTATGATGGATTCTACACGGTGGATGTAGCCATCATCCTGGACCCTGGGTGGAGCTTTTGTCATCTCCACACTTTCCGAAGGTGTCGCTGTGTCAGGGCTTTTCGCCGGGGCTTACAGGATCAGAAACTGTCGACGTGATTACCGGACGGAGAAACAGGAGAGACATGTCCCAACGGGAATTGACAGCGCACGCTCATAGACAACATAATTCCGGCATGTTGCTTCATCTGAACTATTGCATGGGAACGGAAAGGAAATTCATTTATTCCGTATGGCTCCAGCTTAATTGCTATTGTTCTACTCCATACTTTATTCGCCTCATCCTTTCTCTTGGCCTTATCAAATAGCAAGGATCAATCTGGCCAACGTACAATACTACAGAACAAAATACTAATCACACAAATTAAATGTGCCCTCTACGCGGTATCAAAGGTTCATCAAGCACCCTGCAGGCACAGCCAGACCATGACTCCACTTCCCACGGAAGCTAATGCGCATTGCTGACACCGCCAATGAGATACCGACTGTCAGCACGCTACCTAGGTTTTCCATCTGCTAGACCTTCATGGGGCATCGTGATGGTTCGACTGCCACCGTCGTGATTGAGAATCGAACTGTTTAGAAGACAAGGGGTCAAGTTTCGTCATTCATGAGTAGAGACGGATTTATAATCGCATCGTGTTCAATTCAGAGTTGCCACCACAGCCCAGTTGTGACGAGCTTCATTGTTTGTGGGGTCGCGGTTATATATGTTTGAACTATGAGCCCTCAAGCTGGCTGGCATCCTCTGGGTTGACACTAACAGCACAACTCTGATCATTCCACTCCGATCCATTTCCTTACTTATAGTCTCCATTATCATGGCCACCCACCCAGCAATCATTGTACCCGCACTCAAGGGGCCTTTAACAATTCAGCATGTTCCGACTTGGAAGCCTGCCCATCGGGAAATTCAGGTCCGGGTGGAATGGGTTCCATCCACCCCGTTGGATGTCTGGCAAGTTGATGCTGGGCTCATGGTCCAGTTCCCTCAGACACTGGGTGATACGGCTGCGGGGACTGTAGTAGCTGTTGGTCCTGATGTCAAGCGCCTGCAAATTGGCGATCAGGTTTTCGGAATGTTTTTCCAAAATAAGACACAGAAGGGTCAGCAGGTATATGTAACTGCACCAGAGACCCTTTTTGGTAAGGTTCGTTCACACACCACTTCCAAATTATTTTCTTCTATGCCAGTTAAACCCGGAGTGCTAGGTCCCACAAGTCATTCCATTGTCTGCTGCGGCTACCATACCGACCAACTTCTGCACTGCATTCTTTGCACTTTTTGAAAAGCTCAAGATTGAGCTGCCTTGGCCGCGTCCAGAAAACTTCACCCCATCTGACAAAGACGTACCGCTTCTCATCTGGGGTGCTGCCAGTTCCGTGGGGCAGTCGGCGGTGCAAATCCTCAAACATTGGGGATACACGAACGTGATTGCAACATCTTCACCGAAGCACCATGCAAGGATCAAGGCTTATGGTGCGGCGCACGTCTTCGACTATCGCGACCCCAATGTTACCGACTCCATCCTCGAACCTTGGCTAAACAAGGGCACTCAGAGATTATTCGTGTCTTTGACTCCGTGGCCTCGAAGTACGGTTCCTTGATTCCAATCTCCAAGATTGCGACACAACCAGGATCAGCTGTTGCTGCTGTTCTTCCAGTCGTTATCAGCACCTCAGCTGAAAAAGACGGCCTCAAGCTTTCCCCAGAGGTCTCTGCGGAAGCGCCCTGGGCATCGGGAGTGGAAATCCATCCCATTGTGGTTTACAACTATGAAGAGGTAGGTCGTCACTTGCATCTGTTTTTCTCTTCTGTCCTATAGAAGACTCCATGTTGGTCGCGACCGAATTTGGGCTAATAATACTTCGTCTTCAGAATCAATTTTTGCGGGACCATCTTCAAGCTGAGATCATGCCAACGCTTTTGGCACAAGGTGCTATCGAGCCGAATAAGCAGCAGATAGTTGAAGGAGAGACTCTCTTGGATAGGGCGCGCAAAGCTTTAGACATTATGAGAAGTGGCACTGTTAGTGGTGAGCGGCTGGTGTGGCAGGTCTGGACCGAGGAGGAGTTCCCTGAGTTTAAATGATCTTACTGCCAGGAGTGAGCGGTGTTGTGATGTACTAGAGCAAGCCCTGTTGTCTTGGTCTTTAATTTTCTAGTAGAATCGTTTGTTCGTGCTCTCTACGCCTTTATGATGAGTTATTCGTAATACACACGTTTTTATCTGGGCAAAGGGTGCCTTCTCCTTCCTAGATATAGCAGAACTGATCTCACACAAGGTTCACACAAAGAAGGCCTGTGAGGAAGAGACATATCAAGAGGAGATTATAACTAAATATAAGGACAGGGTGTCACTGTATGCAACTGAACAAATGATATTTCTGGTCAATGTAAATTTTTGGGGAAAGCTATTTGAGAGAACATATAATCATTCTGCTTCGGAACTACACTGCTAATATACTTTGCTTCGAAGCTTGTTAAAGACAATAAACGAACCATCACCGACCAGAGACAGTTCTTCCAGCGTTGTCGGGCCGGCATACATTCTCTCATCTGGTGCATACTCGGACGGTTCCCTTTCAGGTTCGTTGTCTGCGTTGTCGCAGAGGGTATCTGCGACCTCCCTGGTGTAGCCATCCGGATCCCAAGCAGGTCGTGTCTGCATCTCTTCAACCTTGATCGCCACAATTTGTTCAATCTCAGCTCTCTCTGCAGGCTCGAGTATGACCAGTCTCTGTTTCCAAACATCATCGATGGGAATAGACGTCGATCCGAAAAATCGCTGATCGATCTTATGCCAGTATATCAAGTCAAAGGCAAAATTATTCCTCGCTGCATATGCTATCCAGAAATCGCCACTCTCCCAGCTGTCTCTCATATGACCAGACAGCCGCTGGGTACTGTCCAACCACCCCTGCTCAATTGCTCTATCCTCCTGGTCTCTTATCGCCTTGAGGAAGGTGGGAAGACGTCGTTGATATTTACTGCACCAGTCTTCAAGACCCTGTGGCCAGTATTCGGGCTTCTCAATTAGCAGCCACCATGGAGGTGCAAATGAGAATTCAACAGGCGCGGCGTATGTGAACTCCCAGTCAAAAACTCCGACGATCTTCAGCTCTTCGCTCAGGAGGATATTAGCTGGGCGGAAGTCATCGCACCAAAGCTTGAACGGGCCGTTATCGAAGGCGTCCAACGGCTTTGTTAAATGATGTTCTCTGGCGAGTTTTCGAAAAAGGAATCGAGCAACAAGCTTCCGTCGACAGTCGTCCGCTGACTCAATCGCATCATTACGCTGGTTGATGAGGTGTGCAATGTGAAGTTCTGCTAATGCTTCGAAATATGAAGATGTGGCTTCAAACGTCGTGTTAGGAAGTTTTGATCGAGGTAGCGTACCCAGTCGGATCAGACTATTCATAGACATTGACAAGGGTCTCTTGGTTACTTCCCAGGTGAAATCATCGACCTGTTTCAGTGACCCTATCCGGGGAAAATTTGTTTTGGAAAGCTCCAGTAAAACGGTTGCAACCTCTCCATACAACGCCTCCAGCCTGGCCTCACGGATATCGGGGTTAAGTACACCACGCTCTTCGCGAGGACAACCAGGCCTATTGAGAACATCATACATGTTTGTCTTATGCTCAACGTATTCCATGATGATGAACGGGCCTAGTCCCCGAGGACTTTCTTCCCTCGATCCCCAGTGACACACGAAAGGAATAGGAATGGCAGTCTGATCATTGATGTATCGCATCATGGCCACTTCATTGCGTACTTTCTCTTCGGGGAACATGATTGATCCTGGCTGGACGAACCGTATGACTGTAGAGTTTGCATTCTTGTTCTTCATCTGGAAGGTGATGTTGTACGAGCCTTTCTCCAGATAGCTAAACTCATCAATCTTCCCAGGGCCATGGTGTCTTGACAGGAATTGCGCGACGGATTGCAGAATCTTGGGGTCGAAGAACTGTTGAACCCATGCATTGGTGATGGCTTCAGCCTTCTCCCAGGCGACGTCGTCGTGGTGCAGGCGTGGCTTCATGCTTGCCAGGTGCCTCTAGAGGTAATTGTCAGCTGATAGATACGAAACAGAGAGAGCTCGTAGATGGGAATGACTCAAATATACTCTGAGTGATAGTTAATCTTAGTCTGTGGGCAACAGCGATCAGAAAGTCCAGTGGTTTATGCTACGAGATATCCAGCCCTGGGGAAGAGTGTTGTTTAAATCCCGCATTAACCCCCCGCTAAGGCAAGGGGATACACGTCGAGTCGCACAATTCCCAAAGATCAGCTGCCTGGTCTAGGCTCCTCTACCCCACCATGTGCACGTCAAAATAGATGGGATGGCTTCTTGATTTCCTTGGCGGTGCTTTATAAAACTGAGTGAATCTTACACAACGCCTTTGTTTCCCATGCACAGAAGGTATTATGGCTTGCTCAGGCCGATCGGACACTGTGAGACAAAGCTATGGTGTTTGAGCGTCGTTCTCCTAGATACGTAACGGGAGACCAGTCATATTTGGGGCTGCCAGGATCGTATAATACGACAAGTCGCTGACCTGCCGCGGGTAGTACTTTGGTCATTGCCAGCCTTGCAGCTTTTCACTGCAGCCTTGCGCAAGAATATCCCGGCCGGATAAGGCTCCCCGACGGGATAAAACCGGCGGTGTCGAACCATACGCGCATGCATCTGCTGCTCTGCATTCTCGAATTGCACTTCTATTCAAAAGGAGTGATAAGGAAAGACAATATATTCAATTGCTGATCATGCGACTTATATACAAATCTATATGCTATAAGACAGGGGAATTATAGGTCTATGGTCATGAGTAATGGTAATGATGACATGTCTGCCCTTGCCAGTAAGTCCTCGTAGGAAGCATCAAAGACAAGAGCATTTGATGCGTAATGCAAAGAAGATATCTGCGCACGTAATGGTAGTGGCATGCGCGATTTGTGTTGACCCGGTGGAGCATAATTTAGGGTCGGTTGAGCTGTTCGCGGCGGTAAAAGAGCAGGAAGCCCCAACTGTTCAAACGTTAGAAGAAGTTCATATCAAGAGTAGAGAGTGAGGAGCCTTACCTTGCCAGGAGCTGGAAGAAGAGAGCGATCCAGAACCATGCGTTACCGACCTTGTCCACCGACGTGCCCACATCCGGGGAGATATCCCCAGGACCAATCTTATTGGGCGCGAAGCCGCGGGCGCAGATGGTGGCGATGGATCCCAGGGCTTGGGCGGCCAGCAGGACGAAGCAGACATGCACTCTAGTCATGGTCTGCAGCAGAATCATACCCAATCCGACTTGTTGAATTTCGTCCAGGAGTCCCAGCCAGAGCCACAGGCAGCGGGTCACGATCGATCCCGACACCAAGCTGCCGGCCCAGGGGAGATAGTAGCCGATGTTGGAGGTTCCCCACCAGGTTTGTGCCCATCGGGGAGCACCCAAACTGAGACCAAAGACTGGCAAGATCCAGCTGTGTTCCTTCGACAGGGCACGGAATATGACAAGAATGGCCACCCATAGGACGACAAAGAAGCCGAACACAAGGAGGACAATCTCCCAGGGCTTGACGTGCTTGGACGTCCAGAGGAAGGACCAGTTGCGGCCGAAAGCAGCAGAAAGGAACCAGTTCTGGACGATGACCATGAAAAAGAACCACAGGATGATGCGTCGTCGGAATAGAGACTTGTAGAAGAACAGGATACGACTGGGAGCTTGGCGGTAGTAGTTGGGCAAGCCCAGGGCCAGCAGAACTCCAATGACGAAGCAGAGGGCAGCGATGGGCATCACCACGGCTGTGAGTCGCCAGGAACTCAGAGCCGCCACAGATACACCTCCAACTTCGGCGGCAGTGACCTTGGAGCTCCAGAACCAGAGCGCGACCGTGTAGATCTGGGAGATACCTTGAATGATACTGGCGCGGAACATCCAGTCCTTGACAGGCACAGCACCCTGGTCTCCAAAGTTCAGAGCGAAGAACAACGAACCGCTAGAAGATGCAATGGCGTAGACGCCAGCCGCAACATTCTGAGCCCAGGACCGACCGAGAGAGGTGAGACCAAACGGCGAAACACCGATAACGATGAATGCCAAGCAGTAGATGAACCACGGAAGACTGAGGGAGATGACGGCCGGGAATCGATGATACATGAACCACCACGCGATGGAGGAAAGGCAGTAAATAGCGGCGATGACGTACAGCTTCACAGCGGTCTCTCCGACCTGGCCGACAAGCAGGGTGATTTGTGCCGAGTTGGTGGCGATGATCTGACCCAGTCCCAGGAAGAGCGAATACACTGGCCAATTGCCCAAGCGGCGTCTCATGAATCGCTGAACAGCGATCGGACGCGTGTAGCCCAACCGCATCAGCCAGCGGTCAATCTCATCCTCCCCATTGAGTTGTTCAGAGTCCTCACTAGAGTAGGACTGGCGGTTGTCTGTACCGGGCCCATCATGTACGACACTGACAGAGCTAGGAATCGCGATCCCACGGTCCTTGGGTTGTTTTTTGAGCTGGGCGTCGTTGTATGAATTGTAGAACTTGCGCTCACTCTTCATCAAATAGACCTCAATGCAGTAATCCGTAATGGAGTTCTTCTTGTTCAACTTGTCAAGCGACTGCTCGAAGCGACGAGTGAAGTGACCAAGGCTGTCTGTGAAAGTCGGGTCCACCTTCTGCAACTCGAAGACGGGCTGGTCCTTGTCCTCGCCACCAAGACTGCTGAGGCGGTTATGGTCGCCAACCACGGAGGGCAACGACAGCATAGAAACAGTCCGGAAATGAGTCATGGGCGGCGGTGTTGGACACGCTGGAGTGGAGATCTGGGAGACGGGGTACGGGGATACGGGTCTGGACAAGTAGGAGGCGCGAGGAGTGCTGTCTCCAGTGATCGCATGGGGGGAGAGGGTGTTGTTGACAGCCTGCATGGCCTCCTCCGGGGAAATGTAATCCTCCTGCGGCCTGTGGTCATCTTCGTCAGCGTCGGTGTCGTGCTCATCTTCTCCGTGATCAGTGGAGATCTGGCTCGCGGTCGCTTGCTTCTTCGTCAAGCGCTTTCTGCCCTGACCAGGGCCGGACCGGCGACCCAGTGACAGTTTACGGTTGAGACTGCTATCGCGACTGCTTCCCTCGGATGCTTGAATTTCTTGAAGGCGAGCGTGGGCCTGCTGAATCATGGCTTCAGGTGGGGTGTCCGAGCCGTCAGACCTGGAGAGAGCCATGTTGGGAAGCGCCACGGTGGAGTAACGCGCACTCTGAAGGTTTTGCAGGTCCCAGACACTCTCCGACTCCGGAATAGATCCAGTCACTGTGTCCTTGTTCTTTTCATGGTGAATTTTGATCGACGTTCGCTGGAGGGTTTCGAGTTTCTGGATCCACTCGAGAACGGGGAATCGCTGCTTAGCGGAGTTTGCGCGCATCTGCGCTCGGGTTTCTGGAGACGAGTCCAGAGCCGATTTGATGGCAGTCCTGAGCTGGTGTAGGAGATGGCGAGTGGCGTCCGATTCGACGGTGTACCACCAGCCTGGCATCTGACCCAAACCTCCAATGCGAGATCCAATTCCCAAAGCACCCTTTCGACCGAATTCGACAGCAATCAATCCGAATGGCTCATCGCGAGACGGGATCAGAGCAAAGTCAGCACCAGAGAAGACACACGGGGGTAAAGCAGTAAACTCAGGTCGCGAGAAGACCCGGCCAGGGAACATAGCCGCGATCTTCTCCAGCTTGATGGCAGCCAGTCTTCCGTAAAGATCAATAATGGGACCAACACAGATCACCTGCACCTGCGGCCGGTCAGAAAGAACGGCGGGGATGACATCTGCAATCAGATCGACACCCTTCTGCTTAGACCAACGACCAACGAACACCAGGAGGTCAGCCTTCGGATCCTCGGTCAAGCCTGCCCACTTCTGAGCCTCGAGCTTGTCCGTGATGCGTTCCTCGTAAGACCGAGTTAGAGCTTTCTCGTCAGGAGTATCCTCCAAGGCCGCAGTATCGGTCGGGTCAGGGTTGGGCAGACTACCAATCTTGTCCAAACTCCAGAAAATGGGATACCGCGCCCATGAACGCTTTCCATACTTCTTGGACACACCGACCGCGCCAAATCCGCGCTGATGGAATCGGAGGTAACTCGCTCCTGTGTGAAGCAGGTTGAACACATTTCCGAACTGGCAGTACTTTGTGGCGACTTCAACGGGCAGGTTAAAGACTGAACAGACTTCCTTCTTTTCTTGCTGGGTACGGAGGGGCCAGAGTCCCTGGAACTCGGCGTTGTGCAGAGACAAACAGACGGGGATTGTGCGTGTCGGTAGGAGGTACAGCGGTGCCAAGCATCCATGGAAATCGTTGATGTGGTACATATCGATCGACGGGAAACGCTTGATGGTCTCTGCGATACACTGGTTCCAGGCAGAGTAGTAAATGGCACTGTCCAGGTCATCCATCCGCGGAGGGTACGGCTCTGCTTTCGTCTGCTGCCGGAATACGGGAGCATCAAGAAGGACGTAGGTGATGTTGTTCAGAACATGATACTGCACATTAACGAGGTAGGGGTTGTCCAAGATCTTCACGACGTATGGCTCTGTCGGGGTATCCTCAGGGTATTCGATATCTCCCACGCAGGGAACCACCCAGATGAGGTTCTGGTATCCCAGGTTTTGGGACATGAGCTGGGCCATGACTCCCAAACCACCAATCTTGACCTTGGCCTGCCAATCCGCGATATCGTACTCCATAGTGGCGATCAAGACGGTACGGCGTTTCTCGGGGGCTCCTGCAATGGCCAGATCGCCTGCCACGGCGGCAACCTCTGATTCTTCCCGGTCCATTTGTCCATCACCTCCAGCTTGACCCTTCATCCTGCGCCAGAACAACAGTGGCAGCTTGTCTTCCTTGACCACGTTGCCATCGGTATTTAGCTCAACACGGTAGAAGGTTCGGATGAAGATGAAAACTCCCGCCAGCCCCATCAAGATCGGGACGACCCAGAGGAGAATGAAAAGCACAAGCTGGGCCCATCCAGATCCGACGGGAAGCAGTTCATAGCGGAGGTTGGCATCATTAAGGGAGATGGTCCAGCCAAGGTGCGGGAAGGGGGGCAATTCGGTGATGTTGATCACGTTCGAGGACAAGTAGGAGGGAGGCAAGACCTGTACAACTGATGAGTTGTCAACATCGCCATAGACGTTCGTCGTCTCCGGAACACCGTCCTTGCCAGTGCCCCAGACACTGATTTGTCCCACGGACGGCCATTCATAGACGAAATCATACTTCCAACGGCGATCCTTCGTATCAAACCGCATCTTGCTGTCCAGACCGGCATCATAACCGTACTGATTGTACGGACCATTCCACCACAGGTGGGGAAATCTGCGGGGCACATCGGATTCCCAGTCATAATCACCCTCCTGGATGTAATCACTGCTGCCAGTAAGGCGGGAGAAATACTGCACCCGAATGTGCGTGCCCTTCCATTTCTGGGCATCTGTACCCGTCCAGGTCGGGAATTCGATCGTTGTGTTGCCACCAGTGTAGTCCGTCCAGTTCGACCAGTTCCGGCCAAAGTCAGTCGTGTAGCGGAACTGATCAGCGCCAGCCGCATCATGCTGAACATAGTAGCTGCCGTTATCCGACTTGTGCACCAGGCTGGTAGAGTAGTTGGCAAGCGGCGATATCAACGGGTTGGTGTGGGTTCCGACTCGGAATAAAAAGCGGTCGATGGCATCTACGCGCGTTCCGGACGTCGTGGAGGCATTCTTGACGGTGATCTGGTGGATTCCATGATAGACATTGGTCAGGTTCGCGGACCAGGTCCAAACAGTGGGAACTTCGCCGACGTAATTGTTACTGCTCGTCCTGGCTGTCACGTTGGTGCAGCTCACGCTGGACGTGTCAAGGGATGCATTGACGCCCTTGATGGTGGTCGAGTTCAGGGAGATTGCTTTTGTGATCGCACTGCAATCCATGGTCTTGGAATAGCCCAGCTGGATTTCCAGGGTCTCCCCAGTATCCTCGGAAGACAGCAGGCGTGCATCGTGACCGGGGACAAACTCGGTGACCGTAGGGCCAGGTTCAACGAAATCGCTAGCCTTGACGTAGGCCCGGAATTCCCATGGCAACAACTTCATTTGGGTGGTGCAGCCGTAGGACTCGGTGCCGTTGCTAGCGTCACTTGGTCCATCCTGCAGCGTGAGTTCATCGTAGGGATAGAAGAGGTTTTTCAACTTCGTTCCCGACTCGAAAGGAGACAGAAGAGCGGAGTCCTTGCTAGAACAATTCTGGCCATATGTTTCCGTTTTATTGGCATTGTGATATACGAGCCAGAGAGTATCGTTACTGGTCGAGGCCTCTTTCTGGACGCCGGGGTAGTAGCTGCGCAAGACCGACCAGAGACCGGTCACCGTCGGGGTAGTCGAGGAACCCGGAAGATAGAGATCCTTGGTAAGCTGGGCAATGGTTTCAAGATTGAATCCATCATTTGCTACTGGGTAATGCTCTCGGATTTCAAACATGCGCTTCATAATGTTGCGAAGGGGATGTGCCGGGTTCCGTTGATCGTAGGTAACAGTGATATCGTTGCAGCCATTCAATCCCTTGTCGTTGGGGAAGTCGTAGAATTTCGAGGTGTTCAGTGAGAAGCAACCATGTGTCCACCACGCCGTCTGATACGTCATAGGCTGACGACCGAACAAATAGTTGGAGGCAGTCGCATCGAAAACGTACATCTCCTGCTCCTCGCCCCAGAGAACCAGAGGGATTCCCGGCAGCTCCAGCGTAACAATGTATAGACCCAGTAAGTATTTCTCCGTACCATTCTTGATGGCTGGCCAGCGGAAGTTATCCTGGTTCGACACACCATACATATGCCTGGGATCCAACTCGCCCGTGAAGGCATTGATGAAGTCGTTAGTGACGAGCATGCCATTCCAGGCTTCGATGAAATCGGTGGGCAGGTCAAAGCCGGCCACCAGGTTCCCGTCCATTCCCAGGAAACGGGTCATCGAACGATAGATAGTATAGTGAAAGGCCGCGGCATCCAACGCTTGCAGGCCATCATCACGGAGGAAGTAGGAATCCGACGATGCATTCGTCAGCTTCGCGCCAGCGTCCGCCGAATCAGGCGTCTGGTTTGGCTGACGACCCCGACCAAGGTAGAGACTGCCAAAGGTGTTGCCCGAGGTGATTTCTCCCGGCAGGAAGAAGTTCTTCTTTCCGTATTGTTTGGCACATTCACGGTAGACGGCGAGCATGTCACCCAGCGGATCCAGAGTGGCTTGGACGGCTTTGTCAAATCGGAATCCATCAATATCCAAACTGGCGATCACGATGCAAGAATGGCGGGTGATAACGTCGCGAACCGGCTTGTGCCATTCTCGCAGACGATCTTGCACCGAGGCGAATTTGGTGAGCTGTCGCTTCCAGTCAGGGAAATTACCAAATGCCTCGAGTTCGCCATACTGATCGAAATCACTATTGTAGCAACCCTCCAGGTCCTGCACACCACCGGAAGTCAACGGGTATCCCGTCTCGTTCCAGAACCTCGGGTAGTTGCAGGTGTCGTTGTAGTCATTGCCGAACTTGAAATCAGCGTACTGTCTCTCGGTGACGTACTCCACCTCGTACTCTTTCGCATTGAAATCAGCCGAATCGTTCAAGTGGCCCTTGAAACCGATCAGGTTACTCAAACTGCACGGGAGATCGTTAGTGGCATGGTCGTCTTGAATACTCGGGGCATACTCACGTTGCCAATGTATTATCCATAATCACGTACATATCCCGGTCGTGGATCTCCTTGATGGTGCGCCTCCAATCCGACAGGGTGCCATGGTGCTTATCGAGGAGGGTGGTATCCACTGGGGAGTAACCATCGTAGCCCCAGGGAAGGTTCATCAATCCCGTACCAGCGAAGTAGATTCCCTTGTACAGTCAGTCAGATGGAGATGACATGGGGGGACAGTAAAAGAGTGGGGAACTTACCTTGAATCCCATTCCTCTGATGTAATCGAGCGTATCAATCAAGCCGACTAGGTCACCGCCATGGCGCATCTGATTCGAATCAAGTACATGCTCGTAGGTGGTGCCGTTGATATCGTCGTTAGCGGGATCTCCATTGGCTATGCGGTCCAGGAAGATGGTATAGATGGGGAAGCGCCAGTTGTCTGGTGACGGATGATAGGTGTGATTAGGCCATTCTCCCCAATAGTTTATCGGTCCCTCTGCGGTTTTATTCTCATTCAAATTGTAGTCAACGAGCGACTCATCGTAGGGCCAGCCCACGGTCGTGACGCTGAGGAGCCCCAGAATGAGCACCACGCAGCGCTGAACCGTCGTGCCGAACATGATGGCAAGCGGCGTGTGGTACCAGAAATTCTGTGCCAACCAAGGTCCAAAGGATTATGCAGGAACCCAATGCCACATGCCCGAAACTTCCGCACCGAGTACAGCGAGAGAAAGCAGCACAAAAAACGAATGACTTTGGGGTATGAAACGAGAGAAACGTGGGAGGAAAGCTTTCCCAGGGGATGGTTGAAACGAGAGAAAAAAAGAGGAAGACAGCGAATTGCTGCTGGGAGGGTTACTGCTGCTAATGCTACGAGAGACCAGAGACTAGACTACTCGATGACGAGAGACAAGCGCGGTGCTTAAGCCGTCGTGAGACCACTATCTAAAACCTTTCGCCCGCGGTGGGGTCGACAGGCCCTGCGATCCAAGACACCTGTTCGGTCATTCTCTGCTCTGGGTGGCTATTATTAGGAAACGTCATATCAGGATAGCATGATTGGGTGAGGTGGAGGCGGGCCTCGTCAGTACACCCTCCGTCATTCGATAATAGTCAACAGCACTGGATGTGGAGGGTATAGGTGCGTGTGTGCTCAGTGCTGATGGTGGTGATCCCTGGACTTTACCGCTGGGGCAGCCGCCACTACTGCAGTCACTGAGAGATGATCAGTGTGACCGACACTCAGAGCGCTAATCTCGATCATCCCTAATTTTTTAAGTTCAGTAAGAACGAAGATGTTCTTGTTCTGTTCTTGTTCCTGTGCCTGTGCCTGTCTAACCGACAAGAGTATATCCGTGGAATCCCATCAGTTATTGCCAAGGTACAAAAAAAAATCTGATGTCGGGCCAGCAAATGGGGCGAACATTGGTCGTTGTGTTTCGGCACAACCAGGGTTTTCTTTTTTTCTTTTTTCTTTTTTCTTTTTTCTTTTTTCTCTCTTACCATTTGCCTTCGCGCAGATTCTATGGTTGGAACCAGGCGCGGCTCGGTGGAGATCCGAAACCATCTGGACTTTGCTTATAAACACTGTGAGTGGGCATGTCGCGGATCCCATCCCCACTTCGATGGCCCACGTACCCTCCAGCGAGTCGCCAGATCCTGTTATTGTGTTATCTCGGCGGACAATTCGCAGTCAGAGGGCAAGGACCCTGTCCCATGCCTCACACCTGGCCAATGGGCATTTCACGGCGCCATGCCTTGTCCTGCCGACCCCGGTTCGGCTGCATCGCCACTGGCCCCGTCGGGATATCGGACAACACTTCATCTAGGGTTTCTAACTGGGCGGCCAGTCTGGCCGTTATCAGCCCAAGAAAACGCCTCATAAATCGCATACAGTGTCAGACGTCATGGAACCTATCAGAGTGTTTCGGTCTGCTTCGGGATTGCCCCGTCGTCGTTGAAGGAGGGGCAACCAGGCACATTTTGACTCCACTCAGACACTGACACAGTCCGGGTCGCAGAATGAGTGCCAGACCATCCTCCTGTCCTTGGCCCTTACCAGACAATGTCCCGATTGACTTTCTGTGGTTCCATCCCGGCTTCAGAAATGCTTCGCGATTCTTCGATTCTTTCACACAGAAAGCTTGTTGCAAAACTGTGGCTTCGCAACAACCCACTGATGAGCCACGGTCGCAGATGTGCCCCTCAACCAGTGCATGATGCTGACATGCCGCACATACCCAGGCACACTCTCAACAAGAGAGTCAGTCAGTCTGGTTGGCGAACTTGGACGCGTACGCGACGAGGTGGCCTTTCTGAAGATCAGCGATCTCGCGGTGATGTTGTTGGCTGAAGAGAAATGCTAGATCTCAGCGCGGGACGGGCAGTGACCCGATCAAAGCCCACCAGGATCTTCACAACCCTTACTACGATGGGTAGTGTTCTTCTATTTTCATGACAATCCTTTAATAACATTGCCGCCGAAGCGAAGTTGACTGACTCTGTAGTTCATGCGAGTTAATTCCGGCAACTCAGTTACTATTCACGGCCTGAGATCAACAAACACCATCATTTGTCTCACCGGGGGGGTTTTGAAGTGAGCAGAAGCATCATGTTCTCCCGCGATAGAGCTATATATAGAACACTAACCGCCGCCATTACGTAGGCAGAAGGAGTCGACTGCTTCACTTGGTCGCAGACATGAATCAGACGCTAACATTCACCGCTGCTGTTTAGACATGGAGTGTCTGCCATAGATCAACTTGTTGGTTTCCACCCGTCGTCCATCCCGCCATCGTGCATCGGCCCCGAAAAGCATGATATTGCGAGCTACCACTCCAATGATCTCTTTTCGCTCGAAGACTGCTGTGTTGTACTGCATATGCATCAGGTGCATTGGTGTTGGGGGACAAAAACAAAGCAACTGAAAGGTGAAAAATAACAGGTGAGAATAAGCAGGCAATCCTCTACGCAAGTACGTGGTACGTCGCACACCGTACCTGCAGGCTAAGAAACCCCAATGCCACATGTGCATAGCGGGACAAAAAAAAAAGATTCAATTCCAGGCTGCTGCTTGCATGCGCAGATTTTTCCATCCAGTCGCCTAAACTGACTACATCTCTGGGACATCTTGTCGGCGTCGGATTTCTCCGTGAATGTACGGTCGGATTACACGCAGCTGGGGGTTCGGAGACTCCATCGATCAGAAGAACGAAGACTTGGATATCTCTGGTAGAGTTGGGGCGAGATAATCTCGGCAGGGGTCAAATCCAATCGCATAAACTTGTTTATCATTGGGGCCAGGCCGGGTTTCTGCTGCTGTCATCCAGATGTTGAATGAACCGTCTCACCGGGGGCATCGAGTCACTCTTGGCGATATGCTCACTCATTCACACAGCCCCAAATCCTGCTGAAGAGGATGACGCCTAGAGGTCGATTCTTCTAGTCTTTCCGGACTACCAGTGTATGGAAAGTTCTAGGCTCTCTGAGAAACTTGACAGCAAAATGACTACCGGGGCCAATCCGTCGTTGTCATTGCCGTAAGTGACAGTATAGAGCTTGCTGTGTGATTGAATAAGTGGCGAGACGTGATTGATCATTCCATGATGATAAACACTTACCTCCATCTCCAGGCATCAGCACGGGTAATCCAGGTGATCTATCCAGCTTTCCGCTGAGTCCCGCTCCGGGTACTAATACAGCCCGCTCCCGAACGCGACGAGCACCACGAATCGCGGTCGATCGCATTTGGTCCGGAACGCTCACAATGAAATTTCCTAGCTGTATTTTGGCGGCCATTGGTATATGCACCGCTAGGTTGCCTGCTATGCTGTGATTTGCTTCCTTGGTCACTTTATCCAAATGCCTAGGGCATCAACAGAAGGCGTCCAGCATGAGTTCTTCAATTACGCGCCAAAAGCAAAACTTGAACTAGCTGGTCTTTCAAGACCGATCCGGCTGGTTTTCGGGCCTCCTCATGATAAAAGGCTTTCAATGGCTTGCACTAATTGACAAATTTAGTTGTAGCTTTGATATCAGCGCTTCGGGCATTGAGGGCCTGAATGAAGAGACGGAAATGAACAGTACAAAGTAGTATATAGAAAATCTCAATCACTAGACGATGGGACTATTGCGAGTAATATGAGCCTAAACATCTAATCACTTTATTAGGAGGCAAATTCCAAATGCCAACATATGCGACCGGCCCAGGTTCCAAATTCTCACCCTGAACGAATACTAGTAGGGGAAAACTCATCCTCAATACCTCCACAATTGAAGCCTACACCGCGTCGCGAGCAACGTGTAGTATGCCACTCAATATGTCAGTAATAGTAAAAGGATGGCCTGTAAAATGTGACTTGGGCGCACTAACTTCCACGATAATGATGGTGAGTGTGGGCACGATTCGATATGCCTAGACATTGCTGTGTTGACGGCTCTGGAACTAGTACATGATGCCTCTATTCATGAAGTCAAGGAGTGAAACGCGAGAAAGTGAGTATCGTGAAATAATTCTTCTGCTATAGAGTATAAGAGCTCCAACAACCACCAAGCACTCGAGTCGCTTGAATGGTGCTCTTCAGGGTATTCGGATAGTACTATATATATTGACATCCGGCAGTACTACTTATCTACTAGTCCGTCGGTACATAGGTGCACCAACTACTTTGCAATGTATGAACGAACTACTAGTATAAACCGTGGTAGAGGTGCTCCCAGGCTAGTTATTCATCTATGATATCGGACAATTCCATGGGTTTCTGCCAGTCGATCAGTGTCCACTGGAGATATCTCATCGAACATCATGATGCTCTGCTGGGACCCACACCATCCCGGGATGGGATGATCTTATTGGCAATGCAGACAGCCCCAGGCTAGTACTGATTACACAGCACTGCATAGTACTTAGTTATTACCTATTTGTGTACATAATGGCCCTAAGATTTCTTTGGCACCCAATCAAAATTGCAGGTGGGGTGTTTGTTCACGTTCATCGCCAGTGTCGTGCAGTTACTAACAGTTTTTATACTGGTTATAAGCAGTTCGATAGAATTATTCGCCTTGTGTAAACCTTCTTTATCCAGGCTGTCCAGCGATTGTGTCCCTACTTACCAGCAGTACAAGTACTCCATAATGAGAAATCCTCGGTCGCTCCCCACTGGTACGAGAAAATCGCACACACCAGTACCAGAACAGACAACATTGCAATGAATACCACCAAACAAAACTATCCAGACATCATGTTGATGTGTTTTTGGTGACAGATGAGCCGGAAGCTTAAAGAAAGATCCGGCCCTTACCCCCACCTCGGGAAGCTTAAGATAGCCGAAGCAGCCAACTGGCATTGCGATGTTACTTATTATTACTTATTAGGCCTCCAGCAGAGGAATGGCGGTCGCGTGATTTGGGGCTGACTCCATAAACTCTCTTTCTTCCCCGCGAAAACACCAACTCCGGCCTGCAATTCTCTATCACCTTCTCTAGTACCCATTCTCTCACACTACTCTGGGTGGCGCCCCTTCGCGCCCCTTTCCAGTCATGCTGGACTTCTACACGCTGGCGGTGCTCGGCCTCCTGGTCGTCTTCGGGTACGCCTTCACTCGTCGCGAGAAGCCCGACCCGCGCGAACCACCATTGGTGCGCAGCAGTATTCCCGTGGTCGGCCATCTGCTGTGTTTCCTGTGGTATGGATTGTCATACTTTACCATGCTAACGTGAGTTTTGGGGTCCCTATAAACTCGGTGATTGGGAACTAGACGACAGACCTTCTAATGCGCCGTAGCGAGAAACATGGCCTACCGATTTTCGGCCTCAACATGGTCTTCACCAAGAGCTACCTGGTCACCTCGCCTAGCATTCTGCTGTCCATCCAACGGAACAAGAAGTCCCTGAGCTTTGACCCGTTCCTCAGCATGGCGGCCGAGCGCATGGTCGGCATTCGTGGCCCGACGCTGGAGTTGATGCGCGAAAAGCAATCGGGCGGCCAGGGATTGAAGCAGACCGTCATCCATGCCATGCAGCCCACGCTAATAGGCGCGCCCTTGGATCGCATGAACGAGCGCATGACGCGCCTGCTGCGACCCCTGGTCGATGAGCTGGCCAGCGCCACCACCATCGACCTCTACGGCTGGTGTCGCCATGCCATCACGGTCGCCAGTACGGATGCCTCGTATGGGCCACTGAACCCCTACAAGGATGCGAACATCGAGGAATCATTCTGGTGAGTGACTAGTATTCTACGCGGATTTAAGCGAACTATGGGACTGAGTGGATAGGTCCTTTGAGTCGCACCTCAGCCCATTAATGGCCAACTTCCTCCCCTGGCTGACCGCGCGCACTGCGTGGCGGGGGCGCGAGGCGGTCGTGGCCGCTTTGGTGCGGTACTACGAGCAAGGGGGTCATGAGGACGGATCAGAGATGACCCAGGTACGATGGAAGACGATGCGGGAGGCCGGGATGTCCGCTGCGGATATCGCACGAGAGGAGGTAGGCATGGGCATCGGGCTCCTCTCCAACACGGTTCCCGCCGCCTTCTGGGTGCTGTATGAGCTGTATTCCCGACCCGACCTACTGGAGGAAATCCGGGAAGAGATTCGCACGAATGCGCTCCGCGTTGACGCCGACCAGCGACACATCATCGATATTTCGGCTCTACGCGACAACTGCCCGCTCGTGGTCTCGAGCTTCCAGGAAATCCTACGCGTGCAGTCTGCATCCGCCCCGACGCGATTTGTCATGGAAGACGTGATGCTGGCGGATCAATATTTCCTCAAAGCGGGAAGTATGATCAACATGCCGGCCAAGACGTTGGGTCGCATGCCCGAGGCATGGGGAGAGACGGCGAGTGAGTTCGATGCGCGGCGGTACATCCGGTCGGAGGAGAAGAACCCGCGGCGCACGGCAGGCTTCATGACGTTTGGAGTGTCCCCCGTCATCTGTCCCGGACGACACTTTGCCAGCTCGGAGATTCTCGGATTAGCCGCTCTGTTGGTGCTCCGATATGATATAGCGCCGGTGGATGGCCAGTGGCGCACGCCGCGGTTGAACTCGATGGCGGTCGCGTCGAACATGCGACCGCTCAAGGATAAGTTTCCAGTGACGGTGCGTCCACGCAGCGAATACGCGGGAGTGGAATGGGACTGTACGGTGCAGCCCGGGAGTGGAGTGTTTAACTTGATGGTGGGATAGGAGTAGTAAGTAGTTTGTACGATGTAGAATGGGATGAGTAACTGCCCATAAAAGTCTGCCATGGATCTCGTGGCTGGTTATACCTTATTTGTGTTTTTCCAAGAGAAAAAGTTCCGGTCGCTGCTGCAGTCGAAAGTGAAAGAAAGGAAGGTGATTGAGCACGTGGCCTGTGTATCCCTGAGTCATGCCCCAAATCGGGGTGCATCGACCCATTTCACTGATTCTAATCGAGTCCGATCCGACCAAGAATACTACTAACCGCTACTACTACGTTAAGTCACCTCTGGTAGCACTACTTATTTTCATGATGAAGCATCCATGCATTCGTTCATCCTAGCAGCAGCTGCGCCAGCTGCAGGATGCGCCAGAAAGGGCGGCACGTGGGCCCAAGCGCCGTCCTGATTAGAAGTTGATTAGAAGCCCCCATTCGAGCCCACGTGCCTGACAGACTGGCAGTTCTATCCATGTCCCTTGATTCCTTGACAAAGAGAATCAGTGAAGTCTCGATAAACAAAACAAAATGCTGTTGGTTCAATACCCTCTTCTGATATCTGGCATAGGGTGTAAAGGAGGTATAGCAGAAAACTTTGAAGTTACAGCATCCCAACTTTCTGCACTGCGACCGCCTATCGCGAATCAGCAGCGATGGCTCTATCGCGCCACCACCCCCTGTATTATCGAATGAGAGTGCGACCAGACGGCAGATTGGCTCGTTGCTCTGCACGCGCCCGATTGCCCTGCAACGAGCGTCCCTCCGAGCTGCGTATATTCCTCCCTACGGATTCCCCCCCTTACTCCGTACTTGGGGGGCCAACCGGCGACACCCAGTGAGCCCTGCACGTGGAGCGACGGTGTCAGTCGGGCTGGATTTATGGTGTCCCCACTTCAAGCTTTGAAGCAGAGAAGCTTGGTACCTACCCAGTAGTAGTAACCCTATCTAGGACTAAGTACTCCATAGGTAGTAAGTAGACACTAGCCAAAATGGCTCGGGGACACCGAACCACGAGTTCCTATCGTCGTCTGCCGGTGGGTCGCCTATCTATCTCTCTCTGTGCTTACTTCGTAGCCAATATCCTCATGGTTTACGCTACCGGAGATAGGCAGAAAATGTCTGTCAAAGTGTCCCCAATGCACCAGTGAGATATGAGGAACCTGGCCCATTCCCTCGTGCGCACGCCGTACTACCTCAAACTTGCTCCTCTCCCCACCACTGAGATCCGCTTTGCATTTCACTCTCTTCCTTCAGCCCAGTTCCCTGCCGCGATGCTGGGGCAATTTCCTCGGACAAGCTTTGCCGGCTGCTGCAGGTCACCGACTCTATAAAACCTCTCCCCCACCCACCGGTCGAGCGTCTTCCTGCTGCTGATTGTCGCCGCTGTTGGTAGGGTATCCCGTGGTCTCGTGCCCCGGCTGGCTAACGTTGCCCCTCCTGCTGCTTCCCCCTTGCTTTCTCTTCGTTTTCCCCTCCTCCATTTCTCCCAGTTAGATCTGTCTATCTGTCAGTTTTCGAGACTGCAATCTAAGTCTACACAATGATGGACCGCAGTGACGAGAAGACCAAGGAGCTGGTGGTTTCGCCGCACGGCGACCCTCACGTCGATGAGGATCCCTTGGCCGACACCGAGAAATCCTTCTGGGAGCGCAGTTGGCCTACCTTTGCCTGTGGTGCTGGTCTGTGGTCGGATGGATACTTGCAATATGTCAGTGACCTCTTCTCTTCTAATATTTCCCTTGAGGTACAATCGCACTGACATAGGTTATGGCCGTCAGGTCATCGGTACCGTCAACACCATGCTCGACAAAATTTACCCCAAGATCTACGATGGCTCTACCTACAGTCAGAACGTCTCGTCCATCGCTTTCGCTGGAACGGTTGTTGGCATGCTCTTTTTTGGCTACCTCTCCGACCATTGGTCTCGATCCAACACCCTCATGGTCTCCACTGTCATCCTGTTCGTTTTTGGTGCTCTCTGTGCCGGTGCCTATGGCCATAATGGCAGCCTTCCCGGCATGTTCACGGCCCTGACGGTCTATCGCTTCTTCTTGGGTCTAGGTGTCGGAGGTGAATACCCTGCTGGTTCCGTCGCCGCCGCCGAGAGCAGTGGTGAACTGGCCGAGGGCACCCGGCATCGCTGGTTCATTCTCTTCACCAACTTCCAGCTCGATCTGGCCTCTGTTGCCTCATCGCTCGTGCCCATGATTGTTGTGCTTGCCACTGGAGAGAATCATCTTCGCGCTGCCTGGCGTATCTGCCTGGGTCTTGGTGTCATTCCTCCGCTCAGTCTTATCTACCTGCGGATGAAGCTGAAGGAGCCCGCCGAGTACACCCGCGAAAAGATGAACAAGTTTCCCGTCTGGCTGATTGTCAAGTATGCCTCAGCTCCCTCCCCCAAATGAGATTAAAACATAACTAACAGACATATTGACAGATTCTACTGGAAGCGTTGGGTAAGCCTGCCAAGAAACTTTAAGCAAACCTTTTCATTCTGAATGCGCTAACTGTTCAGTGTGTCGTATCTTTGATCTGGTTCATCTACGACTTTTCCACCTACTCCTTCAGTATTTACTCATCCGCCTGGTTGGCCGATATCATCGGCGATAGCGCACCCATGTGGCAGACACTCGGTTGGAACACCCTCATCAACGTCTTCTACCTACCCGGGTCTGCTCTGGGCGCATTCCTGAGCGATTGGTACGGTCCGCGCAACACACTAGCATTCGGAGTGTTCGTCCAGGGAGCCATTGGCCTGATCATGACCGGATGCTATCCCTACCTGGATACCCCTCACTACGTGGCTGCCTTTGTCGTTGTCTACGGGTGAGTCCATCCCCGATCCATCCCCATTTGTCCCACCTCGCACTAATCACTCGGGATGACAGTATCTTCCTCGCCATGGGCGAAGTCGGCCCCGGCGACAACATCGGTCTCTGTGCCGCCAAGACCTGCGCCACGCCCATCCGCGGGCAATACTACGGCACAGCAGCCGCCATGGGCAAAATTGGCGCGTTCGTAGGCACATACGTATTCCCCGTGATTGTCAAGAACGCCCCGAACAAGATCCGCCAGGGCCAGGATCCGTTTTACGTGTCTAGTGCTTTGTGTATCTTTAGTGCGTTTTTGGCGTTCTTTTGCTTGCCTCATATTGGTCAGGTAAGTGACCTGTCAATTTGATCTGATTGAGGTTAAATGACAGTGCTAACTGAAAATAGGATACCATCACGCACGAGGACGCTCGCTTCCGCGCTTGTCTCGAGTCCCACGGGTATGACACATCTAGCATGGGCACGGGAGGCGGCGAGAGGCAGAGGACGCAGTGAAGTATGCATTCGACGAGTTGAACGAGCCATGTATCCTATCCTATCCTATTTTCTATTCGACGAAAAAGTGTATTCTTGATTATGAGCATACTAGTTACCGTACATAATTTAATGCCCCCTTTACGGAGATATAATCTGAACCCTATCGCAATGAATGTACAACTCACCGCAGTGTGGATAAGTCCATAACATAGAAACAACATATGAAATGCAATCTGCTAGCCAACGTCACATGTAAAATAAACAGGACCAGAAACGGTAAGCTGCAATGTTTATCATGGATAATGGCCCCCGACCCCCGACCCACAACTCCGGCCCATTATCTCTGCGTCAAATAGATAACCCTAGATAACAACCCTCCAAGTGACCCCTGCTATTGCAGCCCAGGGATTCCACGCTAACCATCCTGCAGGAAGATACTAGACTTCTACCAGCTTGCCTGCCACCACCGGCCGTCCGTTGGATCTCCGGGCATCCGGCAGCCGGGGGATACGATAGATTTCACTGTCGTCTACGTAGTAACTTGTATCTGGAAAGCTTATCTTTATGAGCATGTCAACCATAAGATAATTAATGTATGCTGCGGAGGTTCCGACAGAGAATGGTCACGCGAGCGTACTGTCTATCTCCTAGATTAGTTGTCATTGCTAGTCTCGACTGATTCGTATGATAAGCTTAGTTGCTGGTCGATTCGAGAACTGCCAGTGGGGTTGTAATTGAGAGATAAGGCAACAATTAAGCTATCTATCTATCTATCTATCTAGTAGGTACTTATGATGGGTGAAGCTTGTAGTGCATGAGAGGTGGAAGGTGATAGGTTCTTAGTTAAACAACACTACACACGTACACACCCTAGCTCTGAGGGTAAAGAGTAAGCTAGCATACTGGCCAGCAAGTTAGCAGTCATTTCAAACGTAGCTGGTTCACCCAATCGTGAAAGGAAAGGCCGGTTCGCGCAACGTTATGGGCAGCCGTATCCTGATTATGTGGCGGGCCCCAGGTGTATGTCTCATCTTCAATTTCCAGCACATGACGCTTAAACATAACGGCCTGCAATACAAGGAAGTGCAAGGACAGCTCATCGCGAAAGGATTCCAAAACATGCTGCCAACGGTGCTTGGTCTCCCCTGGGATGTCTTCTTGGGGCAAAGGGCCGTACGGATCGTCAGGCTGGGCTAGACTGACTGCTTTTAGAATCAGGTCGGTCAAGGTAGGCGATACAGCACGAAGAAAGTCCATCAGGGCTTCCGGTGGGACCACTAGATTCTGCAAACGGACTTCGTGCAGGCGTGGAAACTGTATTCCCGGGAAGATCTCAAGAATGGGGAAAGTTGTAGGGGGGTAAGACGCGTTGATGGAGTCGAATTGATACCGTAGTACCTCGAGAGTCGGGCCAACGGCTGTCAACAGCTCACGGGGACGTTCTGGATGGTCGCCCTCCCGTGTTCCCTCCAGACAAAGGTGTAAGTTCAACAAGCCTTTCATGAAGGAAACGAATGATGTCCATACATTTTGAGTCAGCTTCAGCCTGGCAAGCGCCACGCCATAGCAATGCTTGCCACAGGTTGACGGATGCTTCACGTTCTGACCACTCGCAATCAGGGCTCTAACAAGGACACAGAAAGCTTGATCCTGCTCTCTGGAGATGCATTCGTGCCGGCGGAACTCCTTGGGGAACTTGGGGGGAAAGCCGAGGTCGTCTGTTAGACTGCGCCAGCCTAGACATATCGAGTCACGACTTCCTTCGGCCGGGCGATATCGTAACCCGACTGTAGTTAAGTTGACAAAACGGCTCATACAGTGTCGGAGAACGCGGATGGCAGTCGGCGACTTCAGTATGCGTCGATGATCTTTCATGACGAAGCGAAAATCCTGATAGTACTGCGAGACATGGGCTGAAGCGGAGTACTCCTCAGGCTGCTGCTGTCGCTGTTTCTTCAAGGCCAATTGAATACAGTCCCAATACGCGAAACCATAGGGATGTATTTCATATTCACCATTGAATAGTTCCTGGACGAGCATGGAAAGCTCATAGAGTTGGCACAGTCCGCCGGAGGTGCACAAGACGGAGATGCTGCGGAAGACGCGTCGAAACGAATTGAGAGTGATGTTGTAGAGCGACCGACAAGCCAGTCGAAACGCACACCAGGCTGGTAGCTGCAGATAGGTGCAGATTTTCCTCACCATTTCAATGGGAAGACAAGCGATGGACATGTTGAGAGAGAGAGAGAGAGTTTCTATGTGTTGATATTACCAGGCTATTGAGGAACGCAGAGCGCGTCTATATACTGTCGAGGCATTCATTCATTCATTCATTCAATCATTCATTCACTGTCGCCAGGCACCTACCTCTGCTGCCTACCGTGGATGCATCTATCATCAACCCCCTAATTTGATTAAATCCAACGTACATGCTTGGATTGAATACGTCCCTCCCCTGCTCCTGCCGTTCTATAAAGAATAAATATTCAGTTAGGGGTCACCGGCATGGCCGTGGGTGGTAGTTTTAGGGGAGCAGCAGTAGCGACCAGTCTGGATGGGCGATGAGTTTGTTGGAGAGTTTAAGTTGGTGAATACATATTGATTAATTAACCTTGGACGGCGGGCCGGGCCACGACCATAGCCAAGGAACCTTCATGGCAAGGAACTCAAAAAGAAAATGTATAGATCTCATTCGGATTTAGAACTTAATGGTCGATTGGGGGCCACGGGAAGGAATTCGTCAGAAGGATGAAGAAGAAAGGAGAGACGGAGAGGAACAGTTGGGGCAGTGGATCCCCGCCGATCGATCCCTTTTTCCCTCCCACCAACAACCCGGGCGGTGGGTGATCCGTGCACGCGAGTCAGTCATCCTCCCCTCCAGACTGAAGCTATTCCGACAGGGATAATATTCCTCTTTCCCTTCAATACCAAATAAACCAGCAACTCTTCTTCATACAGATATAGTCATGGCTTCTACCACATCCCCCCTCCGCCTCGAACCCGCCACTCTCGAGGACCTTCCTGCCCTCACCGACCTCTGGTACAATGCCTTCACCACCGAATCCATGCTGACCATCTGGCCCGACACCCCGGGCGTCCGACAATGGTGGCACGAAGCCAACGAGCACGACATGCGACACAAACCCGCAGAGAAATTCCTCAAGGTCGTCGACACCTCCCAGAATAACCGCATCGTCGCCTACGCCAAATGGTCTCTGCAGACGGCGGAAGAGCGTGGTGCTCGCTGGCCGGCCTGGCATCCGGATATGGATCCGGTGCATAATGATGCCTTTGTCAAGCAGCTGGAGACATTCCGGGCTGCGCTGGTGGGTGGGGGGAGACCGAACTATTGTATGTTTTTATGTTCTCTCATCTACATAGCTTTGAGAAAAGGGCTGGTTTGCTAATGGAATGTGGTAGATCTCGATATGCTCGCGACTCACACGGATTACCGACGGATGGGCGCCGCTCGTCTGCTTCTGGAATGGGGCTGTCGCGCTGCGGACCAGGCAGGCGTGCCGGTCTACATTGATGCCAGTAAGGCGGGCAAGCCCGTCTATGAGCGCTTTGGCTTCGAGGATCGTAGCCATGTCTTTGGGGATACGGGTGCCTTGGCACCTATGGTGCGGGATCCACCGAAGAAGGATGCTTGAGGGGATATAGTAGTGCAGAAGATGGGGTAGAGGAGTATATGCCGGGTTTATTCAAACTTCATCGGCAACAGGGAACACGGAAGAAGGATATATTTATAGTATAGAACCAAGGCCCTACCAACGAAACTGGTGGCCAAAACCCCTACCCAATAGATACAATAGATCAAGTACTTCAACCACGCTAAAAACAAGAAGCTAAAGGGTCCACAACGAGCTCTATGTAAATAATCACCGTCAGTCGTCATCTATATCTTGGCGGGTCTCCGGACCAGAGCATTCGTCAAGGTCAAGAGACTGTCTCGCTCCTGCGCCGTAAACTCCCGACGTCCAGGACCACCCCGACTGCCATCGCCGCCGCCGCGAGCACTGGCGCCCGTGAACAAGTCGTCTTGCGCCCGCGACCGGTAGTCGGTGTGGAACTTCCACCGTTCCGCCAGGTCGGCGGGCAGTTGACCCAGGAAGGCCTTGGCAATGTACTCGCCGATTACCGGAAGGAATTTGTATGCACTAGTCCGTCGTTAGTATCATAGTTGACACCCATAGCTTTTGTGGGGAAATACTCACTGTCCCGTACCGCCGGTCGCGACAAACACGTTCTTATGTTCGGGATGGCGGTCAAAGATGAAATCGCCCGTCGGGGTCTCGTTGTACCAGCAGAGACATGTCTTCTCGAAACCTCGCGCCACCAACTCAGGTAAGATCTCACCCAGACCAGCCAGCAGTCGTTGACGGCCTTCCTCTGGGATGAAGTTGGCACGCTGTGAGATGGCCTCGCTGGGTGGAGAGGAAACATTGGACGAGGACAAGGTGTAGCCGAAACTGTGGCAAGCCACCTTCAAGTATCCGGTCTGCTCATGAGGCGGGAAGCTGAAGAATCCCGTAGACAGGTTGAAGATGATGGGGAGGTCCTTCAGACGCTTCACCTCCTCCGGAGTAAGTCGCACGAACCCGACGATCTGCGCGGTGGCCACCATGGTGTTCCATGAGGGCACCAAACTGGCGGTCCATGCTCCCGTCGCCAGAATGAACTGATCGCCAGTGATGCGCCCGCCATCGATGGTTCGCACGGCGGTCACTCCGCCATCCGACCCTTTCTCCAAGCTGGTTACATGTCCATGGCGACCGGTGACAAAGGAGACGCCCGCGCGGATGCAGCGATCGCGCAGGCCGGTAATGGCGAGGCCCGCATCGGCCCAGCCCGCGGCGTTGTTGTAGAATCCCTCGAAGCCTGCTCCGATGGGAGTGCCTGACACCGTAGGGAAACGATCTTTCAAGGCGGTCACATTGTCGAGGTTGTGCCATTCGCAGCCCATATCCGTGAGGATCTTCTTGGTCTTGCGAATGAAGTCGGATCCGCCCGCCGAGACGAGGTCGGCAGGCCCTGACTGCTGCGCCGTCCAGACACAAGGGGTGCGATGGAAGGAGCCCGCATAGTCGGGACTGGTATTCCACAGCTCGTAGGCATCGCGGCCCATCTTCGCATAGACGGGATCACCATAGTCGAAGCGAATAACGCGGGAGATGTCATTGCTCGATCCATCGGGGACGGGCGGCATGGACCGATCCATTACCGTGATGGAGGAGAAGCCATCTTCGGCCAGGTACAGGGCTGTGGAGAGGCCAAAGACGCCGGCTCCCACGATCACGATGGACTGTGTCTTGTCCATGACTATACTAACAAGAGAATATCCAGGAATCAGAATGTAGTGTCATGGGACTACCTCCTCCTAGGCCAGACCCCCAGATTCTTAATGTGTTTGAGAGCAGGCATTGGACGGTTGTTTTGCCCCGGCTGGGAACCGGGAACCGAACCGAGTCCGTCTTGGCCTGCGCCTGCAGCAGTTGGATTCCTTCTCGTTTGGGTGAAGGGATCCGTGGATGTGGGGGGCATTGGCTTGAAGCGATGAATGGCAATGGAGAGACTAACCGTGGACCGGTTCCGTGGTGGAGAACTGATCATGCAGTCCAAGTGGACAAACTGCAGTGGTGAACTGGCAGCTCCTCGGCCGGCTGACAGCTCAAGCTTTCCCTAGACCGGAAAACATTCAGTCCCAAAGATTAAGGTGGGCTAATAATAATCTTGCTGTAGGGAAGATCTGGGGCTTGATTTCCCAATTGGGCTAATGTATGTAAGGGGGGCTCTGTTTGTGCCCTCCATCACGGAGGATGATTTTCATCTGTCCGGGTCAAAGCTCCCTTATCGCTCCGTATCTGATTGCCAGCCGGCGGACCGGTCAAAGGTCCCTTCTGCCGGCCGTGTCTATCTTCAGAGAACATGCCTTTGTATCAGTTACATGATAGCGTTGTGAGCTGGGATAGGGCTGGATGCTGGTCCCGTGCATTGACCAGACGAGGAACCACGGCTGCCATCGCCGCCACGAGGCGTTCCGGTGCCAGAGAATCCAGGCTCCGTCCCCGACCTCCTGATCGCTTTGGAGCCGGCGGACGGCTATGGAGCCGCTGTCAGGGAAGAAGAGGATGGGTTGGAATGTAGCAAGATGATAGAGATAAAACCAGATATCCAACTGGCTATAAAGACAGTATCTCATCTCGTCCTCAAGTCTGGTAGAACAACAACGACGACCAAGATCCATCTCCACTCAAGAGCCTCTTTCCAGACTCTCACAAAAACCCTCAAAAAACCCAACAATTTATATTTCATATCTGGTCTAATACCATGGCCTCCGCATTGTGGAACTACCTGGGTCTCCGCGAGACCTCCACTACCCCTACCAATGAGGCCGTGCGAGCCCTGCCGGCCTCGTGGTACACCTCGCAGGAGATGTTCGAGCTCGAGCGACGCGCCATCTTCTCCCGCAAGTGGCTGCTGACCACTCACAAGCTGCGTCTCCCCAACACTGGAGACTGGCTGCAGTACGAGGTGTCCGGCTTCAACTTTGTTCTGGTGCGCGACAAGGAGGGCAACATCAACGCCTTCCACAACGTCTGCCGCCACCGCGCTTTCCCCTTGGTGACCGAGGAGAAGGGTTCCGCCCGCATCTTCGCCTGCAAGTATCATGGCTGGTCCTACGGCCTCAATGGCAAGCTGGCCAAGGCCCCCGGCTACCAGGACCTCGATGGCTTCGACAAGAGCAAGAACAGCCTCCTCCCCATCCACGTGCACCTCGACGCCAACGGCTTCATCTGGGTCAACCTGGATGCCGGTGAACAGCCCGAGATCTCGTGGGACGATGACTTCAAGGGCATCGACCTGCAGTCCCGCTTTGCCGATGTCAAGTGGGAGGACTACACCTTTGACCACACTTGGGAGCAGGAGGGCGACTACAACTGGAAGATCCTGGCCGACAACTACAACGAATGCTACCACTGCGCGACTACGCACCCCGACATCCCCGCCCTGGCCGACTTGGCCACCTACTCGGTCGACACCAAGGATGGCGGCATCATCCATGATGCCCACTCCAAGCCCGACCAGATCGCGGCCGGGCTCCGCATCGCTAGCACATACTACTTCCCCAATGCCTCCATGACTGTCTCGTAAGCGTGCCTCTGTCTGATTTGATTCCCCCACCAGTTCCAACCCTAACATTTATATCTGCAGGCCACACTTTTTCTTCATGCAGCGTTTCGTCCCGCTCTCCCCCACCCGGTCGGTGATGAAGTACGAGGTGTACCGCAACAAGAACTCGAGCGACGAGGACTTTGGGCTGATCAACACCATGTACAAGCGCATCATGTCCGAGGACAAGTATCTGTGCGATCTGACCCAGAAGAACCTGAATGCGGGAGTGTTTGTGAACGGCGAGCTGCACCCGAAGATGGAGAAGGGCCCCTTGTATTTCCAGAAGGTGGTGCGCGACGTGGTGACGGAGCACTTCCAGCGCGAGGAGAAGGAGGGACAGGAGTACTGGCCCGCCCGTCAGCGGGTGCCCAAGGAGGCGGCAACGAGTGCGCAGGACATGCAGTTCTGTGCCAACCTGGGGTGTGGGGCCGGTAAGGAATGCTGCTCGAATATCGGGGCGCAGCCACCGGCGGCGGTCGCCTGGTGAGGGGGAAGATGTTTATGAAGGGGATCGGCAATTGGGACAGAAGAGAGAGTTGGGCTATGATTCATCTTGACGAGTTTGACACATTGTTTTCGGCAAATCAGGTTAGCGATCTTTGTTTGGAATTGAGATATTGTACCGAATTAGATTAGTTTTTATTTTAGCATGCTTTTAATTTTTGATGACGTTCAAGTGATTCACGGTGCATTCATTTCTGTCGCGTATTGCGACTAGATAAGTAAAATGGGTTGGCTATCAAGAAGGCGAAGAGCGGGATGGAATGGAAGGGGGAAGATAGATAGATAGTAGAAGAGAGGAGCAGGATGGCCAAGACGGGAAAAGCAGCCAGAAGAGGAAAGGGAACCAGACTAGACCACGTGCGCTCACCTGACCGGTGGGAAAATCACCGGACTTTTACTTTCTCTAAGACCATACAGGATACAACCCAGTACTGGGACAAAGAAAAGTTAAAGTTAATTATGATGTTAACTATTAAATTACTCCGGGGTTAGTCAGAGTGTTCCAGTCCCAGTTCTTTTTTTGCTTCCCACGCCTGGTCTGGAATGTTCAAACCTTCCCCCTGCAAGTAGCCAGACGCACCAAAACTTGGACAGGGTGACGGGTCATGGCGGGGATTCCCAAGGACTGACGGGGCCCCAGCTGACCACTGGCCATGGAAAGGGAGTGTATTGGGTGAAATTATGCGAGGGTGGCCATGAGTACGAAGTAGCCTGTAGTCTAGCTACTACTATGAATAGCCCTGCCATACGTGAATAGAATCAGACTCGGGCTTATCTCTCTCCCATCGATACACACCGGGAGATACGTTGACTGGCAACGTTGTCTGGCTGGACCCTCCGGGGAGAGCGGCAGATCCACCTTTTTGCGCTGCTGGTCCCTCCCTCCATCCAGGAATAGCCGATAGTAATCTGGTACTGGTACTTGGTACTAAGATAGTAGTAGTAGATAGCAGATAACCCTTCTTTCTACTAAGCAGTGACAGTTTCCAGGTTCCACTGCCAACCCAATCTAGTACTCACAGTACTTACATACTAGTTAGTTCATACCCTCTTTTCATCTTTTCCCTCCTTGCACCCCTACATCTATACGAATTATTATTGGTTGTTTCTTATCCCCTCCAAACTCTCCGCGTACTCGGGACTACTACTACCGATAGTAGTTGGACACCCTAGTACTATTAGTGGTGGTGGTAGTAGTAGTAGTATATGCCCGCGCGCCAACTCTCGTCCCTCGTTCCTTCCTTTTCTAATCCGAATCCCCTTCTCCGTTTCCCCTCCTTCTCCCTCCCCTCTTTTGTTCCCGCGGGCATCGCGTCCCGTACTCATTCCCCCTCCCCTCCCAGCAGCTCTTCCATCATCATCATCATCATCTCTTTGAGTCATCCTGGGAACAATAACATGACGCCACCAGAAGGACAGCGTCGGAGATTACGGTCAAATCATGCTTGTTTGAATTGCAGGTGCGAAGAGTCCAAATATTTTTTCTATCTACGTGCCCGAGAAAAGAACCCACTCACCAGCGTTGACAGAAGGAAAAAAACGCGCTGTCCGGGCGAGAAACCGGCCTGCTCATGCTGTGTGCGGCTTAACCAGCCGTGCTCGTATACGCCCGTCACGAGGACGTCAATAGGCAGTCCTTCCGTGGGTGCACCCAACTTCCTCTGGACTTCGCGGTTTGCTGATGCTCCACCTCAGAAAGATCGGCTGGCAGAGCTGGAAGAAAAGGTCAATCTCATTCTAAACGGCAATATGTAGGCCTCTCTCTCCCTCTCTCTCTCCTCCCGAGATTGTCCGCAGTATAATTAAGCTCACAGATTTTCACAGACTAGCTCGATCGACAGGTCCCGAGACGAAGTTATCGCCACCATCCCCGAGACGCCGCGATTCTCACACCCCTTATCCTGTCCCATCGGGGCTGGGCGAGGGCACTACCCCTCACTCTTCACCCTCGGTCATCGCCAGAGCGATTAATCTCTACGTGGAGCACTGTCACCGGCAGCCGGTGTGGTGTTTCGACTTCGATGGGCCAGGCGAGCCCGGCTCTCTCCCGGAGGAGCTGATTTGTAGTCTGTTGGCACTCACCTTGCGCTACTTACATGAGCAGGATCAGGGCCAGCATTATGCCGATGATGCTAGGACTCTCATCATGCTACGCATTGCCAATGGGACAGTGGAGCTGGCCACGATCGAAAGTTTGTGTCTGCTGTCCTATTCTTCTTTCATCGGTACGTCTACCCCCCGGAATGGCCAAGCAGTGTGGAAAGTAATAGTAACTAAATGGTATGTCCCATTGTCGCAGATGGCAATACACACCTCGGACAGTTCTACCTAGGCCTGGCGTCCCAGCTTTGTCGCGCGGCCATGCTAGATGTTGCGGTCGCCTATTCCACCGATGATCCACACATGGAGCGAAAGAAGCGGCTGTTCTGGAGTCTACAGTTGCTCGAGCAATCGTACGGCCGACAGACGGGCATCTTACGCACATCGACCGAGATCTGGCGCCCACCATATTTCGCGACGGACGGCGACCAGGACAGCCACAAGGCGACGGGGCCTCCGCCGCCACCCATGCCGCAGGACAGCGTGGGATGCACGAACCCCCACGATACAGGAATCTGGAACATGAGCAACCAGTTCGGCTGGGTCTGGAGTAATGTCAGGGGCTATGTATCGGACTGTGCGCGCAGCAAAATGAAGGAGCCCTGGCGGCATGAGTCAATGTACTCCATGATCCTGTCCGACCTCACCGAGGTCGAGAACCGGACGCCCTTCTGCCATCGCTATGATCACGTTCAGTTCTACGAGCGTACTGGTGAGGAGCTGTCCTATGAATTGGCCTACTGGATCCCCTGGTTGAAGTTGCAGTTCATGTACCATGCCATCCTCACCGTCCTGAATCACCCGTTTCTGTACATTATGGCCTCGCGCCAGAATCCCAACCTGGCCATCCCGAACAGCTTCTGGCGACGTTCCTCGGAGCTGGTGGTGCTGCACGCCACCTGGATTGTGCGCTTGATCGACATGGTGGTGGAGAAGGAAGTACGCCTGTCCGACCCCTTTTTCGCCCATGTCGCCGCCATTGCCGCCACGGTGCAGCTATACTATTGCTGTGCCGGGGATCCCCGTCTGAAATACAAGTCGCGGGTAGACTATGCCAAGTGCCGCGAGTTCCTGAGGACCTTTGCCACTACATCGCGGGCCTGCGAGGGCTTGGTAGGTGATCGTCCCCCCCTGCCTACAGAATGAGCAGCTGACTCTCTGTCTCTGTAGCATCGCATCCTGGACCAGATGATGCGTATTGCATCCGGCTCGGAGAATGTCGACTATGAGACCTGGCTCCCGTCCAAGATCTACTTGAGCATCCCACTCATGTGGGACATCCTACAGTTCAACGTCACGGATCGGTCGGCGGGCGGGAGGGGAGACGGCCGCCTGCTGCATTCCTCATTGGCAGCATCGGCGGTCGGGCAAGGCTCCGAAGAGGACTCGACGCTCGAGGTGATTGTCACAACCTCGCCGGAGGTGACGGTCAACACCGCCGACGGGGGCCAGGCGGTGCCCCTGCCTCTGTATCGGACGCCAGCGACCTCCAAAGCTAACGCAGCAGCTACTTCCATAATGCGTGACACCCTCGTTGCGCCGATTGACAGTCTGATGGTCAATACTCCATGGCTCTGGGCCGACTCGGCTCCACTGGGCGACATGGAGAGCTCCCTGGGATACGCCAACTCCGGTCCGGGCGGCGGAGATGCGGAATTTTCGTCATGGTGGAATTTGGGAAACCTGTGAATCGATCCAAACCTGCGTGAATATCTAATACCAAGAATAGTCTTGATTGCCCTTTTGATTCGATGGAGATAGTATGGCCACCTACCCACTCACACACACAACCTGAGCGGAGACGTCGAAACCTGTGCAATCGAGAGGAGAGAGACAAAACACAAGAGTGAAAGAGAGAGAGACAGGGAAGAGGAGTCCCGACCAACCCCGCACGCACAAAAGAAATCATCCTCCTCTCCGTCCTCCTCTCCTCTTTCTCCTCGTCCTTCCCCCCTTTGCTGCTCGCCCCGCCTTTCAATCCGCGGTCAACCTGGCAGTCCCTATGCGAGATCTCCCTCTACCTCGAGTCTCTTTTCCACCCATGAGCGAACCTCTCCAACCAAGAGACCATACGCGCCACCCGTTCTCCGACCGATAGAAGCGAGGGGCATTGCCAATCCGACGAAGGCCAAAGCTCCTCCGTAAGACACGCTAGGACCCGCCACTATCCAGTACCGCCTTGCCTGTTTCGGACATCTTTTCCCAGGGATCCATCTTTTCCCCCCTCGCGACCTTGCCTTCCTTGGATAAGATACGATACGTCTGCCCCCCTATCGGCCCGCCAACTGTTTCCCCCCTCCTTCTTTTAGCGTCATGCGCTTTGTTTGTTGTTGGGATGACAGTAGCTACAGGCTTCCCGACGCAAGTCATCTCACACAAACACCGCGTCGGCTCCGCTGGTGCTTCGGGTTGATGTCGATCCCAACCCGGACGTCTCGGAACGCCATGGGTATTCCACCTTTTGGACTGATAGAGCGCAAGGGAGACGACAGTGGAACCGGTACTGCAGACGCCAGCAGGGGTTCCCGGTGTGGTATGCTGTCTCTTCATGCTTATCGGCCATCAGTTTCCCGCGCGAAACGCGTCACCCCAAAGCAGGGGGGAGGTTGCACATGGCTAGTACCTCAAGTCCCCAATTGCCGTGTTGGGGGAAGGCGGGGGTGAAGAAAAGTAATTTCCCGATGCCGCCAGGCTATGCGACCAGAACCTTCGCTGTATGCTGTAACTCGCCACCACCAAGTTTACCATGGCGATGCCTTTGATTAGTGTGGATGGCATAACTATGATCATCCTTCCTTTTCCCAGGTTTCCTCTCTACATCATAATGGATCTCAGACAATTGAGCTCCCCTGTTCCCGACAGCCTGATGGGGATCTCTGCTACTGTTGTAGCATAGGACGATATCGGGGACACACTAACTCTTTTGCAGATTGCTCGCTCCTCCGGCATAGACCAGTCTCAATGGGACTTGTTGTCTATAGTCTCCTAGTATTCCTGTTGTATCTAATGTCTAATATCTACTGATGCTCTTTAACCAGACTACGACTTCTATCCCAACGCACTCTTCAGCCACTCATGGGCCTGGCCATATATGTCCTCGCAAACCTTTTTCCGGTACGCTCTTTCGGCCGCATTCCCCTCCTGGCCGTGCGTGAAGCCATGCGTACACCCTCGGGCCAAGGTCCACTTATACGCAGATGTCTCGAAGGGCGCTTCCTGGTCCTCTTTATCGTACAGCCCCGCCAGGCGGTGGATCATCTGCTGGGCTTCCAGCCGCAGCATATCCCACTGCGCGGCAATCATGTAGATGCGCGGGGGCAGGTCTTTCGGGTCGGCGTACCAGGGGCTCAACAGTGGATCGCGTCGGTTCTGTCCCACACAGACATACCCCCAGTCCAGAGCCCACGCCATCATGCCTATCTTGTCCAAGGGACCATCCGTGTAGGGGCGGGAGGCTAGTTTGACGGGCGGGGGATGGCCAAAGTCGACGATCGGGTAGTAGACGACGGCGGCTTTGACCCGTCCATGCAGGGGAGGCAGCTGCGACACCGACAAGGCCAAATTCCCGCCCGCACTGAACCCCCCAATGGTGATGCGCTCGGGATCAATGGGCAGGGACTCATCCGCCAGCACGTCCTTAATCTGGGCGACTAGATCGTAGGTAGCGGTGGGGAAGGGATGTCGCGGTACGCGGCGGTAGTCCAGACTCACGACGAGCATGCCGGTCCGCTCGGTCCAGGCGGCGCAGAAGCGGTCATCTACCTGGACATTCCCCACGGCGAAACCCCCGCCATGAATGTTCAGATATAAGGGCAGGCGCTCACCCGCGCGATAGTTGGGCGGGAAGAAGATGTGGGCGTTGAGCATGGGACGAGATGGGTAGCGACGGACGAAGGTGGGCTGGTAGCGACGCGGCGGCTGTCGTACCAGGCGCCGAAAGTAGAAGTAGATGGCGGCCAGGGATTTCAGCAGCCATAGTCGGATGAAGCAGTCCACGCGGTGCCAGAAAGGCATGCGCACTTTCCAGAGAGGGGGAGGGGACTCCGCGGTGGTGGTGTCGGCCTGTCCCTTCATGGTTGAGGCTGGCCAGTGAGACGGGCTGAGGGAAGAACGGACTTCCTGTCTCAGCAGGAAAAAAAATATCAGTTCACGGAGGGAAAGCGAACTAGCGCGTTGGGAACGTAATCCTTCGACACACAGCCTCCCCGTCCGTCTAGCGCTCCCGTCACCGCGATATCGATTAGTCCAAAGCCTTTATCTCCTCCCACCCCTACCCCCAAGGAGCTCATCCCGTAGTTGCGTCGCATAAAGAGGGCAAGAATTGCCGCGTAGTCGACGGGGACCATCGCCATGTTTCCTCCTCCCCGCACACAACGGTCCGAGAAGAGAGGGAGAGAAAGGTGTGTGACCGTCTTGCAGTGGTTGACATGGCTGGACGGGAACGAGGAGGTTATGTGAAGATAACTGTGAGTGCCTGAGATGGTTGATCAAGAGACAGAATGATACTTCTGGGCATCATAGTAGTGGTGGAGGATACACCAAGAGAAGGGAAGAGGGCCGGTTCGAGGCTCGACCGCGCAAACCTTATCTTAAGATCTTAGTATCTGGCCAATGGCAGTGCTGTTAACTAGAATCGAGTGCTTCGAAACAATTCAGGGATCTTTGACATTGTTAGGAAAGTACCTAGGTGAGTAAGCAGCAGTAGACTCTGAGGAATGTGAGTGAGTGAGTGAGTGTGTGTGTGTGTGTTTTGTCTGTTTCTGGTCTGGTTGAAAGCTTCCCCGCATCTGTGCTTACCTCAGCGGTCCCTCTTGTCTCCACTTTCCTGTTTCATCAATTCCTCTCCTCTCTTACTCCCTCTACTCCTCTCTTCTACTTCTCGACTACATCTTCCTTATCGCTATACATCCCCCATTACCTTCTCGTCTTCTAGTGCCCGCAAACCTTCCTGGTTAACTGATTTTGCTCCAGACTTCTGCTGCTGGATTGGCAACTCATCATGTCTACGATCCCCATTCGCGCATCTCCCTCCCCAGCATGGGCGAACGGATGAATTGTGGGTTCCTTTATGTCATCATGGCATCATCGCCATCCTTTCTCCTGCCAGCAATATCATCATCATCACCGGCTTCTCCTCCGTTCGCCCAAGAATTTCTGCTGGCCAAACTCAGGAACCCTTCCATGTCCCTTTTCTCCCTCCCCCGAAAGCCAACCCCTTCTCGAATCTTCCCAGAGAACCATTTCTCCCACTCCCTCTTCCTGATAAACCGGCCGTCGTGCCCCCATGTCCACGCGCAGAAAGAAATCCGAGGTACGTGCTGGGTTTCCCTGCCGCGCCCTCCCTCCCCCCACTGAATCGTCCATTCCTTAGTCCTAGTCTCTTATACATTCGTAGACTGCCCCAGCCAGGGCCGATCGCGCCCAACAACCCGCCGCCGAGTATGCTATCAGCTCGGGTAACTACCATGAGGACCTACTGCACGATCTCTTCCACGTCGTCCGATCCATCGACCCCGATCACACTCCGACCCTCGTCGACATGATCCGCAACCACGCCTCGCTGGACGAGGTGCGGGCCTACCTCACTCGCGCCCTGGCCGCTGCCCAGCCCTCGACTCCAGATCAGGAGGACGCCTTGCGCCGCCTGGAAGGCCTGCGTCGCGGTATTGAGGTCGAGAGTGAGCCCCCACGCTTTCGCCCTCAGATCATGGATATCCGGTATTTGTGCAGTAATGCTCCTTATCGCGTCCCTGCCAAACCCTGGACTTCCGTCACCGACGACGATGACCTCGTCTCCCACTTAGTCTCCCTCTACCTAATCTGGGACTATCCCTTCTTCGCCTTCTTCGACAGCGGAACCTTTATTAAGCACATGGCCATGGGCAACACCGAATCCGACTTTTGCAGCCCCTTCTTGGTCAATGCCCTATTGGCCAATGCTTGCGTAAGTCCCTTTCACCCTGCCATGTATCTCTTTGAGCAGACGGGATAACGATCGGAGTTGCGTGGCTCTATCTAGTACTACTCGCAATACACCGAAGCCTACACTGTCCCCGGTGATGTCCGCACCAAAGGAGCCGATTTTCTGGCAGAAGCCGAACGCCATCTACAATCGCATCAGTTTGAGAAGGGAGGCGACATTCGTCTGGCATCTTTGCAGGCGCATCTATTGCTGTATGAGAGGTATGCCCGCACCAACCCTGGGCGGTGGGCGCCCTGACGCGTCGACCGGAGGATTTGTTCTAATCCCACCAGGTACTCCTTGTCGGGCCACAATGACTGGGGATACACTATGCTGCATCGCGCCATTGAGATGGGAGAGTCGCTAGGTATCGTCAATAAGAAGACCGATTTACGCCTCTCCGTATCCCAAATGTCCGAGGATATGATCGTCTCCATTAAGCGCACCGCCTGGGGCCTGTTCCAGGTAGACACGTAAGTGCGATCTCACCTTCCTCTCACACACATTTTATGTCCCAGGACCCAGTCTGATAGGGGACAACCACAGGGTCGTCCATACCAACTTCCTCCGGCCCAGCCGCGTGCGCTCCGTAAGTGTCGAGCGCATCGACCGAAATGGCTTGAACACGAGCGATATGTGGGCACCGTACCCGATATCTCAAAAATCCCGCCCGTCGTACCTAAACCTATATTTTGATGAAGCATGCAAGCTCTCCTTCATTGCCCGCGACATTTCCTGGAGTCTCTCCCGCACCGATCGGTCGGGCACCGAGCCAGATCAGCGCAAGCAAGAACTCTACGACCGGCTCAGTGCATGGGAAAGCAATCTTCCCGAGTGCTTCGATCCGGCCACGCGACCGGCACCACATCTACTGCTACTCAGGTAAAGTGTCCTCCCGATCCGCGAGGCGGCGGAGCATGAGTGAGCTAACCAGTCCCATTGTCTACAGAATGCGCTACCATACACTAGTAATAAACCTCTGCTGCGATCGCTTCGGATTCCACCCCATACTCTCCGAGGGAGACGAGCGTACGCCCCGAGAAAGTAAAGGGTTCAGCGCTGTGGAAATCGCCCTTTCATCAGCGCGAACTATCGCCTCGCTTACCCAGCAGCTACGGGTGGAATACGGGATGGAACATGCCCACCAGTTCGCCATGTATTCGGTCAACCTGGCGCTGTTCACCCTCCTCGGCCAGGACACCTTTGATATCCTCGACCGCGACTTCCTCACCCTGACCAGCGCCATGTCGATCATTGCCTGCCGCTCCCAACTGGGACGCCACCTCTTCCACCTCTTCAAGCTCTCGGTGCGGTCCCGCAACCAGGGCGATCGGGTGCAGCAGTCGGATGAGGTGCCACCCGGGATCAAGGAGCTGTTCCAGCCAGACTCGAAGGCACAGGTTCCCGACCGGTGGGATAAATACGCGGAGGGGTTAACCAAGATTGACGGCGAACAGAGTTACGTCGACCACTTCCAGGACGATCCCCAATCGTTAGCTACCTCTGGGCTGCACGAGATGTTGCAGCGATACGAGCGGTTAAGTGTGGGCAAGGAAGACGAGTGGCGTGACCGTCGGCCAAAGGGAGTGACGCATTTCTGAACTCCCTCTTCGGCAGGAATATAGATTAGACCATGTCCCATTGTGGTCATGAAGCTCAGATACATCCCTGAGCCTGTACATATATATGATTCGATTGCATCTGTAGACGATACACGAAGTTACCATTCCAATTCCTAACATATTCACTCCTTCAAAAAATCCATATAACCATAAGATCAATTGATTCTCCACTCGGTAACCCGAAATACCGACATCAAAACTGATTCATAAATACATATATGTCTCCACCCCTCATGATCCCTCCCCCCTTTTATATGATTACATCATCTTGTCTGAACAACAAAAGAACACCCAAAATATAATACATCCGAAAATAGAATAGTAAGTTCACGAAAGACCCCGCAAAGCTTCTCACAAGTAAAGGCCCTCTTCTTCGAGGGTCTCCAGCACCTCCGACGCACTTCCAATCAAGTGCAGACTACCCGTGATAAGCACAAGCGGCGGCACATGACCCTGGCCACCGACGCTGCCAACACCCCCAGCGCAGCGAATAGCTTCCTCGACGGTGCGCACGACAGTGATGCCCGTCAACTCCTCACCGGGGATACCGTGCCAGTAGGTGCTCAGCTGGGCCTGGAGGTTGAGATTCTCCTCGCCTGCATTACCATGGAAGGTCATGGACGCCCGCTCCATATCCGCCGTCTCATCCTTCTCCCAGGCGATGTTGGAGCAGAAGATGACATGGTGGAACGGTTTCTCGGCCAGACTACTCCCATTGCCTGCGGTCTGGCGAATGCTATCCCGGAGATGGCGCACCAAGGTGAATGCATCGCGGGTGGACTGGTTGAAGATGAGAACCCGCTTGGCGGAGTCCTGCTGCGGTGCGGCCTTCTTCGCGAACCAGGATCCCACCAGGTCCATGCTCTCCACGGTGTGCGCGCCATCCAGATGGAACCGACCGGACCGGCAGTCCCGCGTCTCGCAGCGGCCCGGCCAGCTGGCGGTCTCCAGGGCGCGACGGAATTTCTCCGGTAGGGGAGCGGAGGTGATGTCCTCGGGAATGTCCGAGTAGCCCATATTGCGTAGATGGGTCGCCGCGACGGCTATGGCCAGACTAGCATTTATCTTCTGGAAGTCTCCTGCTAGTCCCAGCTCCATGGTCTCCACTTCTGGGTGCATGGAGACAATGGTCAGTGGCGCTCCCACTTCAGCGGCGATCTTCTGCAGGGTAGCGGTAGCGCCGGGAGCTTGGGGAATAGTCAAGATCGGGACACCGGGCTTGATGATGCCGCCTTTAGCCCAGGCGATCTCCTCGATGGTGTTGCCTAGGAGGTCGGTGTGCTCGAGGGCGAGACTCGTGATGGCGCTGACGCTAGGTTTGTGGAGGATGTTGGTTGAGTCATGTCGGCCACCGAGACACACTTCGACCACGGCGGTGTCGACCTTCTCCTGCAGGAACCCGTGAAGGGCCATGAGCGTGAGGAAGCGGGCAAAGGGAGGGCCGCTCTTGGCGGTCTCCTCTGTCAGGCCGAGTCGGCCCCAGACATCACAGAAGTACTGGACGAATTGGTCCTCGGTCAGGGAGGTGTGATGAAAAGGGGTGTCGTTGGATGGGCTGATCCGAATGCGCTCTCGGACAGTGCGCAGATGAGGTGACGTGTAGAGGCCCAGCTTCTTGATTGGGTTCTGTGACATGTGTTAGTGGTGTTTTTGAAAATCTTCGACAGCTCAGCCGCAGTGGTTGCAGCGCATACCTCGTGACCCTGGTACTCCGACAGAATCGAAAAGATAAACGCCGAGGTGGAACCTTTGCCTTTACTTCCGGCAATGTGCACCGCATTTAGGGGATCGAAATCGGGACTCTGTAGATCGCTGTCAGTGGCTAATGAAGCTTTCTCGATGAGATTTGGTTACCTCATATCCCACTGCCCGACACCATCTCAGCATGTCCTGGATGAAGACACTCCGATCCGCTGTCTTGATGGCGAGTTGGCGGTACGCAAAGTTGGTGTTGAGAGTGTTCAGCTGGCGAAGCGTGTCCTTTCAGAGTGTCAGTATGGAATTTGGCCTTGGTCTGCGATGACTAACATTGTATGTGGTTTCTTCTACATTCTTTCCTCCCTCCCGTGCAGCACAGGAGAGGTAGGCTGTGCTCGATGGAGGGTCCATCTCAGGCATGAACTGGATTGACGGCATTGTGAAGGAGGATTGCGACTACAAAAACCTTGAGATCGAAAGATGTTTTGATTGCCTTGTTTGGTCAATGGTGATTTCGATTCTGATGTGCTTTATATAGATATCCAAAAGGGCTTCCGTCACAGAGACTTGGCACATTTCTGGCATGCAACTTTCTGTTGGGCAACATGCGCTGATGCTGAGCTGCAGGTCCGCGATGGCGTGAGTATTAGGGCTGCGCACCCTAGAAGATCGACAGGTCGAGCCCGGACTTTCTTTCTCACCGCCAATAGTTTAGCTGTTGCAGAGTGGATATGCAGGATCGACGATGCAGCCGCTGACGCGGCTGCACATTTAACTTCTTCTCCCTCCTTGGCGTGGGTAACTGTTCTTTTCTTCTGAATTCTGAAACTTGCTTTTGCACCCTGATCAGCGTTGACGCCAACCCTGGGGCTCAGCCGCGATCTGCCCCAACTTTTAGTTTCCATTACTTAAAGGTAATTTCCATCAGGATCCCTATTTCCTCTTTCGGTAAGCTGAAGCTCTGTCACACAAGCTGTAGCTGAGAAAGTGACTCCGAATTGCCCGTGATCAGGCGGAATTTTACATCCACACCGAAGGCCCCGTGCCGTGAAAACACTAGCTAGGCCGTAATGCATCCCATCTATGATGTGATCTCCAGTTGCCATTTGCGGAAAACAAGCATCAATCGGGCGGATGCATATGTCATCAAACAAGGAGAGGACGTCAGCACAGAGCCCGTATAACTATGCCAGACATGGCAAGTTTCGCGGTCGATTGACGCTTTGGCTGATTCAAGTCACTCCTTTTGAATTTTCCAGGGCCTTCACCAACCCTTTTCACTCCCTAAGGCAATTATTATTATCATGTCTCAAGAAGTCAAGGACAAAGGTCCTCAGGAGGTTGTGCACACAATCGAGCTGGGCTCCCTCGGGGGCGCTTCCAGCAGTGCCAGCCTGCAGCCACTCTCTCAAACGCCCTCAGAGGCGGCGCCTCCGCCGCCGCCACCACATACAGTGTTGACGGAGGGGAAGAAGATCATGACCATCGCTATAGCGGCCATTGTGGGATTTCTAGCCCCGGTGTCAGCAAACATCTACTATCCCGCCATTGACCAACTATCCGAGGACTTGCATGTCTCCGTGAGCAAAATTAACTTGACCATCACCACCTACATGGTAAGACCATATCACATGTCCGGAAATATATGTTGCATAAGCTAACATACACGGGTTCAGATCTTCCAAGGAGTTGCGCCGTTGGTGACGGGAAGTATATCCGATGTATATGGCCGTCGACCCACGATGCTGGTCTGTCTGATCACCTACCTCGCCGTCAACATCGGCCTGGCGCTTCAAGACAACTACATTGCACTCATCGTCCTCAGAACCTTCCAAAGTTGCGGAAGTAGTGCCATCTCGGTCGTCGGCATAGCTGTTACGGCCGACTTGGTCACTCGAAGCGAGCGTGGTAAATACATGATCTACTCGTCGCTGGGAACGACAATGGGACCTGCCCTCGGCCCTATCATTGGAGGTGTCCTGGCCCAGTTTCTTCGCTGGCGAAGTATCTTCTGGTTTCTCGCCATATTTGCCCTGGCGATGATAATCCTCATCCTTGTCTGTTTCCCCGAAACCTGCCGCATGGTGGTTGGAAATGGATCTATCCCCGCGCCGCGTTGGAACCGGCCACTTATTCCGATTGTGCAGCCCTCGGCCTATGAAGGGGCTGAGGCAGCTAAGAAAGAGCTGGAAGATGGGCCTAAGCCCCGTCGACCGACGCCGATTGACAGCATTAAAATCGCTTTGGAAAAGGAGACTGGCGCCATCATTGCCTTCTGCTCTATTCTCTACTGCGGATACTTTGCTGTTCTCAGTAGTTTGTCATCGGAGCTGGGAGAGAAGTACGGCTACAACTCGCTCCAGATCGGCCTGTGCTATATTCCATATGGTATTGGCAGTCTCACCTCGCGGTGGACCGTTGGGCGATTCGTGGACTGGAATTTCCGTCGCCTGGGGCGGCAACATGGCATGGAGGTGGTCAATAACCGCCAGGTGGACCTCATTGAGTTCCCTGTCGAAAAGGCCCGTCTCCAGATCACATTGCCAATGGTCTATATGTCCTGCGTCTGCATCATTGGCTATGGTTGGGTCATGAATTACAGGACACATGTGGCCGGGCCGCTCATTATGCTGTTTTTCACGGCGCATACCATTGCGGGAGCTACCAGCACCCTGGTCACGCTGCTGATCGACTGCCACGTCAAGCGGGCGGCGACAGTCACAGCTTCCAACACAATGTTCCGTTGCTTTCTAGGCGCGGGTGCGGTTGCAGCTGCAGTGCCTATCATTAACGCAATCGGTATGGGCTGGATGGGGACCCTGATCGCTGTCCTGTGGGCGGTTTCCAGCGTCCTTCTTTGGGGTGTTTTACTCTGGGGCCACGACTACCGCAAGAAACGCGCGGGGAGAATCTGATAGGATCGCCACTCATTCAGGGGTGCCAACGCACTCAAGATCTACGAGCCACTGTGGATCGAAGTAAGAAAAAAGGATTTTTCATAGATAGACAAGATCGGATAGTTGCATTCAGGAACTTACACCTTAGAACTTTCGTGCATATACCATAAAAGACTTTTCGGGTGTAGTCTACATTGTAGACGGAATTTGGTGACATCGCATTCCTAAAGCGGTCAAAGTTTGGACCTGTCGCCCGAGTATACGCAATGGCGTCCCTTACATTGCCCGTGCGCTGCCCTTGCATTCTGCTTTGTTCCGAATGTTCTTTGTAGAATGTGCTTTGTAGATTTGAGCGGGGATCAGGCTACGACATGTTGCTTACCCATCATGCCGTCCACGTATTCACCTTGAGGTGATGGAGAGATCATTGCCGTGTGATAGAAATCTAGTGGGAACCGGCGTCACATCATGAGAATCACGCAATGATTGTCGCCGGTGTGATACCAGAAAAGCAACAATCAGGGGAAACCAAAGTTCTCCGGCCCGACGTGGCGGCCTCATTGTCCGAGCTGGCAAGTGAACTCCGAAGAGAGGTCCCGACAAGAGCTGTTGTGGATTTGGGCAATATCTGCAGTGTCAGTCAGCATCACGAAATTGGCCGATCGCCGCCCCCGACGAGCGGTGCGGCCGGAGGTGCAGATCACCGGCCTGGAGCTGCAGCAAACCAAGACGGCCCCTGGCCCACACGTGCAGATCGATAGATTCCATCAGCAGCAGCCAGACCCAGGCTATTGTTCCATAGTTTCAGGGTCGACAGGCATCATCGTTCAGCTCGAACATGGCTTGCGCCAGAAGGTTTATTTACGTAAATCCATCACCAAACCCTGCTGGCTGACAGTAACCCTTCGTCGTAGAAAGTATATAAGGGAGAGAGGATCCACTGAGAGACCAAAGCCCAGACACGAGCAGATCGAAGAAGCTTGGTGACAGAGCCAGTGGTGATAATTTCGTGAAATTCTCTTCATCATGCATCCGCCACCTATGCCCCGACCACACAGCGACAGGTCTTCGCACACTGTCTCGAAATGGAACACGCCCATCCCTCAATGTTCCCTCCCCCGGTTCGTGTTTGGCTCCCCTCGACGCTCCCTGAGTAGCCGAAAGATCCTCATCGATGCCGACTCCCCGGATACGAGAGCTTTGTCGCTGGCCCAATACCGACTCCTCTCTGCTCGTGTAGCAGTGGGTTTGCAGAAACTGGGCGTCAACCCGAAAGATCGCGTGTTATGCGTGACCTCAAATGCCCTCTGCTATCCAGCACTCCTCATGGGCACTGTGATGGCCGGGTGTATCTTCGCGTCTGGACAACCTGCTCTCAACCAGGCCGAATTCCATCGTTTGATCTCCTTCTCGCAACCTTCGGTAATTTTTGCCAGCCGTGCCACCCTTCCAGTTGCCCTTCAAGCCGCGCGATTGGCCAACCATCCCGACAACCGAATTTTTGTCTTTGACGATGACATCCTAGACGGCTGCGGCGAGCCAGAAGGCCCGATTCAGCACTGGCAGACGATGGTGGCGTCTGAATGGGAGGGGTCCCGATTTTGGTACCCGACTGTTATTTCTTCGCAGGAGTATAACAGCACAATAATGCTTCTTTTCACTTCCGGCACTACTGGTGAGCCCAAGGGTGTAGAACTGTCACATCGCAACTACATCGCTGCGGCGATGGGATATATCCGACGAATCTCCTCACATCCAGCGTGGAAATACAACCCTCGCCTTGGAGGCCCTGAAAACGTTCGCGTGTTGGGGTCTCTTGCGATCAATCACAGTGTTGGGCAGCGGTCATATTGCGCCATCTTTCCCAGGATGGGTGTTCCGCTGTATTTGATGCGACGCAATGACTTTCGGAGCATCTGCGAGGCAGTTGAGCGGTTTCAGATCACAGATGCAATCATTCGAAGCTCTGTTCTTACCTCCATGGCGAAGAATGCCCCCATCTGTCGAGAATACGATCTGACATCTCTCCGACGTGTCGAGGCGTGTGCTGCGCCGATGAGCCAGTTCACGAAGTTCAAGCTGGAAAGCCTGGGAATTGGATACGTTGCCCGTGCCTGGGGGCTTACGGAGTAAGTTCGACCCTGCAAAAGGAGTGTTTCCTGTTGCTGACTATATGACTGGACAGAACGGGAACTATCACTGGGCCCGATCCCCTGCGCCCGCCCAAATCCGAGACGGTCGGGCAATTGAACGCCACGTATGAAGGAAAAGTAACTGATTCCAGCGATTATTCTCGGACGTTGAAGACAGGAGAGGTTGGCGACATCTGGATCCGCACGCCAGGATCCACTCGAGGATACTGGAACAATCCAGCCGCAACGGAGCAAGTGATGGGAGCAGGCGGTTGGATCAGCACAGGAGATGTAGGATACGTCGATGACGAAGGCAATTGGTATATTGTCGACCGTAAAAAGGTAACCCCTTGCCCCTTGCCGCTGGATTAGGCAAAAAAAAAAAAAAAAAAAAAGAGAGAGAGAGAGAGAGAGAGAACACTAGCTCACTGTTACCACAGGATTTGATCAAGGTTAACGGAAGCCATGTATCTCCGGTTGAGATTGAGTCTGTCCTACTACAGCACCCGCACGTCTGTGACGTTGGGGTTATCGGAGTCGCAGTGTAAGCCGCCTGTGTCATGATTTGGAAGATGAGTCTAACTTCCGCAGAAACGAGGACGAGGGCCCCCGAGCATATATTCAGACGTACCCCAAGACCTCCG